TTCATTGCTAATCCTATCTCGGCATATCATCACCAGTATAGAACGAAGGCAACTGTTGATAAAAGACCTCAGTGATATGTTGAAATCGCTTTTCGTGACGCGCTCACTAAGTCTCTGACCGTATATAGTATATGATTCGGCACGAATGCGTTAAAAATTGGAATCTTGTTGCTTATTCTAAGTGCAGCAGATTTCCACGGGGATTTAAGAGTATTGAAGGTCTACCTTGAGTTCTCATTTCAATTCCAACTAGCTTCGATATCCTGACACCTCAGCGGTCTGAATTGGAAAAAAATGCTGTCAAGAAAGGTTAAAAAGAAGTGACCTTCTTAAAATCCCTGAACATAATACCGCATGGATAGTCGCCTTTAGCCTATTTTTGTTAAATTGCACACCTAAAACCTTAAATCCTTCAGATAACTCATCAATTTCAAAGTGGTGCGAGAATAATAAGACAGCTTTGATTAACAGTCCCATAACCCGAAGACTTGCAAGCGAAAACCAACAAACTGGCTAAAGAGGCAGGCATCGAAGACAGAACTGCAGGTGAACATAGGGAAGACGAAAGTAGGTGATGAAGATAACAAACCAACGAAGAGCAACAACAACCAGCACCAATCACCATCAACGGGAGAGATTTAACAGAGGTTGCCTCCCCCCCTTATCTGGCCAGGAAGCATCGTTTCAACTAGAGGCAGGCGGAACGGACGAAGACGTCAAAGCCAATCAGAATCGGAAAGGCAAGATACGCCTTCGTCAACGTGAAACCAGTTTGGAAATCTTCCGCATTCAGCATAAGGAACAATATTCGGATTTTCGGCACCAATGTGAAGTCGGTTCTTCTATGTGGGTCAGAAACTTGCACTGCATGTCACGAAAAGAATTTCCAACAGCCTGTTGCAAACTTTCATCAACAGCTGCTAGCTTCGCTGGATGGCTCCATAATGAAGACCAAATGGCCAGAAAGAATTAGTAACAAGAAACTCTGACTGGGAACAAACCAACAAGCAAGAGCCGATCGCTCAACAAATAGGTGTGTCGGTGGCACAGTGGTTAGGACTCTCGTCGACCATGCACATGGTCCGGGGTTCGATCACCTGTCGACGCACACCTGATATCTATGGTCGGCCTGCAAAATTTGGGCTGCCGATATCCATGCTGAAAATTCCATACTTATACCAAAAGTACTGTGTGGAATCAAGCTGTAATCGAAAATAAAAATAAAATAAATGAAAGAATAGATAAAAATAGGTAGGAGAAAATGGAGATGGATCGAGCATAAATTGAGGAGGCCTCTGAATATCATCGTACGCCAGTCAGGCCATCGTTCGAGTGGAATCCAAATGGGGAGCGACGAGTGAGTCGTCAGTGCGAGGGTGACATTAAAGAGATCATGTGAGGAAGAGATGAGAGAGTTTGGTCAATTGAAGACCCAGCTGAAGAGGACGGCAGAAAACAGAAGAAAGTGGAGATGGGTTGTTGAAGCCCTATGTTTCACTCGGAACACAAGGAAATAATAAAAATGATTTGATTAACAGTATATATAATTGACTAATAGAAGTCACTAAACAGGCGTTCATGGTTTCTGAAGACAAGCACACTGTTGTTATCTTGAGAATGGTTCATTTCAAAAATCGATAGTTTGAAACATCTGGATTCTGAGTAGTGAGTGAGTTGGGCCAACTGAAGACTCAGAATAGAATAAAGTGTTTACAATGTTTGATGAAGCACAAAGTGGTGCAGTATTATTTACTCTATGATATTTCTTGCACATTTAACTGCTAATCTGATCTAAACAGGCCAAAAGCCACTATTGAAGGATCTTCTCTCCATAATTTATCGTTTTCGAATAAACTGGCAAAAGATTTCTAAAGTTAGATACTCCAAACAGTAGAAACTGTAGCGATTCACCTAAACCAAGACGGGCAATGTGTGTAAAAGAAGCAGGCCCAGCCACTGTTGCTACCCTGGCCTGATGTGGAACTTATAGATTCAAAAATCCTGCATTGGTACGCTTAATTCTACTTGATATTCTATTTAGAGATATATTTGTATATATTACTGAATACATACATGTATTTAACTGTATTCTTTTGGTCTTATTAGTTCCGTGTTATTGAAACAACACATTAGTGTTGTCAATAACAACAATTCTTCAATTAATATGGACACATAAAAGTAAGATCTGGTGAAGAAGTTATCGAAAAGAAAATTCTTTTTCCACCAATCACAGTTTTCTGAAATAGTAGGAATTTGAAACTGAAAATATACACTGAAGACACATTGAATGGATAATTGGAATCCTTCAGAAAAACTCTCATCAAAAATGGTTATCCAGCCTCCTTCATAGATAAACATGTAAAAAGAAATATCGGTTCTCCTCGAAATCTGGATGTACCGAAGAAACAACTAGTTCGATGATATTAGATGGTTGGAGGAAATCGGCAGAAAGCCCAGCCTGCTGACCTAGGTTTCGTGCTAGTAGGCACTCGTCAGCAAGGCGTATCTGCAACCTTGAAGGAATTCATGTCCCTTCTGAGATTCTAACCCGCGTCATCCAGTGCTGCAGTCAGAGACGTCTCCACTGAGCTATTCGGATTCGCGATTGATTTCCTGTGGGACTGTATTGGATACATTGATTGGATACTAGTAACTAGTGTGATGTGTCTAGTCCTTTATTCGGTGGTGTAGACTGAATTTTATCAGTCAGGTTTGCAATGTAGCCACAATCAAATCAGTGTGCACCATGATGGCGAGCTACTTAGAATTGTGGCCACGTTGTAAACCCGACTGATAGAATTCAGTCTGCGCCACCGAATAAAGGAAACATCACACCAACTACTAGTGTCCAGTCAAACAACTAGTTGTAAATATGAAATCCAAGGGAGAAACAATTAGTGAGTTTCATCGAAACCGGCTGTCAAGAGCAGTTCGAAGAACTTTCTTTGCTGACATCTCTAAGACTCATCTTCTCCACACATGCACAACCACATGTATTGATATGAAGGAATGCATGTCATATCTTCTCATCACAGCCAACTTGTGTTCTTGGATTCGGACTCGAAGCAGATGCCCACTTTGATCGGTGTAATGTTTATTGCAGTTCATACATGCAGTTTATTTTGTAAATGGTATCAATTTGATCTTCGTTTTCTGGTGGGTCTTTCGGTTTGCACAATATCAAATGAACTGACTTTACTGGCTGGCCTGTGTGCCATATCTATTTCAAACGGTTTTAATATTCTAGCCGTTATTTCAAAGATATTTTTATATCTCGTAGAATGAATTTTTCTTGTGGTCTTTGATGGTAGTTTGTTGTTGGTGTTATGACTCAAGTTTAAACACTTTTTGACGAAATTGTAAGGACATGCATTCTTTTCGAAGACGGGTAGTAGGTATTCTTTCTCTATTCTCTTCAGCACAAGAGTAATGCTAAAGTGTGTTTGAACTCTTTTAAACAATTTCTGCACACAGTTTCCATTGTGGGTAATCGGGTTGGGTATTTCCTCTGTGTGCGTTGATTTTCCATATACTTGTGTTGCTAAATTTCCTGTGTTAGTGAACAGAGCTGATTAAATATCAGCCACATGAGCTACAAATCTTCTCCATTATTTCATAGTTACAATAAGAATTTGTTTTGACGACTTGATCACCGATTGATATCAGTTAGAGAACCATTGAAAACTAGCACTGGAGTCCTGAACAGCTGTTTCATCCTCGTTTGGGAATCATCGGCAGTTCTCACCCACCACTTAGTCTTAGAACCCAATACCTTCAGGTTACAAGGCAAGCTGACTCGTAGACCATTCAGCCACTGGTACCCGATTCAATGGCCAGCCCATGAATTCTAACTTCTGCCAATTCGTGATTTAGCGCGACCACCAACCAATGTCATGTTTCCTGGAGTTCTAGTGAGAAATTTTGACCAGTAAGGTCCACCCAGTCAAGTGTGTAAGGACGGATGTCCCATCGATGACATTGGTTCGTGCCAGTCGCGCTAAATCTAGAATTGGCAGAAGTTAGAATTCATGGGCTGGCCATTGAATCAGGTCCCAGTGGCTGAATGGTATACAGGCTCGCCTTGTAACTGGAAGGACCTAGATTCGAACCCTGGCAGTGAGTGCCTACTACTACCGATGAGTCCCAAACTAGGACGAAACAGCTGTCTAGTACTCCCTGGCTCGCAATGGTTCAGTAACTGATACCAATCCGTGACCAGACTTGTTTTTATCTGACTAACTAACTAATGAGACAGATTCTGGCTGCGTATCAGATTCATCCACTTTAATTGTACTCCCTTAAAAATCAAATATACATGTATTTGTAACGACCGAAGACAAGGGTCAGGCAACAGATCGTTTAGTGAAAAAATCAACAGATATTTACAGATTTTCATGTGCATTATTATTAGCGTTATTGTTAGTTAGCACAGAAGCAACGTCTTCTGATTGGTTGTTTTCTTGCTGAAGGTTATTCTGTACTGTTTGTGACCGTTTTTCAGAAAGTTAAGCCATATGCCTGCGAATCGTATTTGCGCACGCTAAGTCCGCTGTGATTGGCCGGTGAGTTCCTCAAGGTTATAAGCTTTGTTCGTGCTATTGTTTCTCTCATGACCCTGATTCGGGACATAAACATCGACGTAAATTGTTGTTTACAAGTTTGGCTCGCAGACAGCTCTCACCACATATTGACTACTAGCAGTTCTTATTGCCAGTAAATACCTTTTTCCGTAATATATATTGTGAAAAACCCTTATAATATAATGTTGTCAACTGATATAAGATTAACTCTGGATTTTTATTATTTTTTTTTTAAATTCACATTCTCGGTATCACGCAGTAAACTCCAGTAGTGACTTCAACACTTCTGACAACTAGCTTACATTACTGAGCTAACCTAAATTCACCATTCACTAATCAGAAATGCATCGTCATATTTATTGTCTATTTCAGATGCGCAATAAGATCCATCTTTGAATCACGAGTCTATTAGTCTTTAGCCTCACTTTCATCGAATAGATTTTATTATTCTATTTGAAACAGAGATTGGACTGGTACAATACAGGCACAAAGAAGATGCGCCACACAATAATATCAATAAAACAAACAATATATAGAGAAAACAGGGAGATAGCGAATAAAGGACTTCACCCAGAAAAGAAGCAGCTATATTTAACAAGAACAAACAATATTTGTCGGATTACTGTCAAAAAGGAAGGAAAGAGGGAAATTGTAGCATGTTCGCCATTCTCGGCCGTATCCGATGACGTTTCAGCCACCGATTCTATCATCCTCTTGGATCCCAAACAGGGTATCACGATGTACCAATCGATGCTAACCTAAAACATATATCCTTCATCTCACGACGTCACTTCATAGGTAAACAACCTCTCCACCATTTTCATGCAGTGCCAGGGCTAGCGAACAGAAACCGGTACACAAGCCTCTGAGATGACATTCGTGGCACATATTCAAGCACCCAAAGCCGGTGTTTCCAGATGACGACACTCTAAACACACGCTGCTGGATCTCAGAATTACTCACACGATGATGTTATCGAAAACGCCAGCAATTCTACGGAGACGGCGATGATCGAATACGTAGAGTCGCCATACGTTCTCAGCTCGGAGAGGCCAGGTTTCACATGTACAGAGTACGACTGTGTGCACGGAAGCACTGAAAACCCGACCTCTGACAGCTAGACTGGCGTCGCGACGGAGCCAGAAGTGGCTCAAATTGGAGTATCCCCCCTTAGCCTTCATGATACGGTTAAAAATCTCGCCCATCATACTTTCCAACAGTACTCGCACAACTACCCAGATTCACGGGCTTGCCGAAAACTTCAAGTAGTTCACCTGCAAAGATGAGCTCAGGTACATGCTCCTGTCAATCTTGTAACAGTGATTTGCAATTGGACAGCGCAAAGCATATACCGTACTCTCAGATACTGATCACCAGATTTCAATGCACAGTGCAGGAAATTGAAGAAAAAGCATAGCAGATTGTTAGAGCGGCCCCCAATTATATCAATTTACTTTAAGATTTTACACAGGCACACCCACACACAGAAGGAGTAATTACTTTACGATAAAACACGCTTAGAATTCTACGATACTTTGTGCATCGGTGGTACACCGGTAGAATGCTCACCAACCAAGTCTCATGTGGTTCGCGGTTCAATCCCCGCCCGACCGACGAGGCACTCCTTTACCTCGCTAAGCAAGTAATAAGATTGATAAAGAGGGGAGGTTAGGCATGAGGTCAACAGAAACCCCATCCCGTAAAAATAAACACCACTGCTACCGAAACTTCAAGCCTCTAGCTTGAAGCCACCCTGTGTTCCACTGGGAATGTGAAGGATTAAAAAAGGAATTTATACACTTTACAAAATAATAATAATATTATTATTAAAAAAGAATAATGGAGTAATAGTAAGGTCAAGAAATAATGCCCAACAGAACGAACAGTGTACAACAGAGTATACTTAATTACATGAATAGAAAAAGGAGATCGGAATTTGCCAGAATTTGATGCGATGACTACCACATAAAAATAGGGTAACGTTCATCGTCGCCGTGATCATCATCATCATCGGCAGCAGCAGCAGCAGGAGGAGCAGCGGCGTTATTATTTCGAGAATTATTCTGAATTAATTTTTTCGGTCTAGGTATTGGTTTCTCTGGATTATGATCAATAGTTTGGTGTAGAAGCATGCCGAGGATACCACCACGCTGGGAGATTGCCCGTTGTAGCCTGTTCTCCTCTTGCATTAATTCATCCATTTGTATTAGCTGAAAAAGATGAGGGAGAGAGGGAGTGAAAAAAGGCAATGAAGGTATCAGCTGATTACGTAATATAATAATTTTCAAAGGGGGTTATGGCATGATATTTCCCCCTTCGTATAATATCTTCAAGTAAAATATTAATTGACAACAGTATATCCTTCCTGTGACACAATGATCTCTGAGTTGAAGTACAAACCATTCCGCAATGATATATCTGCTTTACCTCCTTCAAGAAATCCACGATATGAAGAAAATAAAAGACAAATTCAACGAAGAAAATTTTGGTTACAGGATTTCATCATGAGTTGACATTGGTTGCAGAACCATTGGAAAACCTGGTAGTACTGGACAGCCGTTTCGTCCTGGCCTGAGACTCTTCATCAGAGATGCTCACTGGCGACTGGCCCTATTCAGGTAGGTAGTTACCTGGGGTTCCAGTAGGAAGTTGTGACCAGTAGGGTGCAGCAGGTCGGGTGTGAGGACAAATACTCGCCGAAGACACTGGCTAGCAGTTGCGCTATATCGCGAATTGGCAGAAGTTAGAATTCATGGGCCATTGGATCGGGTCCCAGTGGCTTAATGGTATGCGAGCTCGCCTTGTAGACAGGTCCTGGGTTCTATCCCTGGTGGTGGGTGCGTACTGATGAAGAGTCCCAAGCTAGGACAAAACAGCTTTACAGTACTCCCTGCAGGTTTTCCAATGATTCTGTAACCGATGTCAGCTCATGATGAAATCCTGTAACAAATCAACCAAATCCCTACAAATCAATACTTGAAGAAAATTTTCTTTATCGACGAAATCATCTTCAGACGCCGTACAGTCGTATTTATATTTGCTAGAAATGTATAGTAGTCTATTATTGAGTAATAGGGGGTGACATAATTGATATAATTCCTCGGAAGTGTGTTCCGACCTGCTACTTAAAGGAACTAGTATTGAGGTGAACTTTAAATGTCCAAATTCAAGTTCAACAACACGCTTTATAGACAAAGAGATGGAGTGGCAATGGGGTCACCATTGGGTCCGATAATTGCAGACTGCTTCTTGGCTAGTTTGGAGAATAGTATTTAACGGCCTATTATCGATAGTTTCCATTTATACCAACGATACATGGTTGATACTTTCATTACATGTGAGGACAATTATTATTATTATTATTGTATCCTTTAATTCCTAGAGGAACATAGGGCTTCAGCCGTGCGTCTCCACTGCTTTCAGTTCTCTGCTAGAGTCTTCACCTGGCTCCATGTCTACCCACACGTTTTCATCTCCTCTTCACATGACCTCCTCCAAGTCACCCTTGCACTGACGACCAACTCGTCGCTTCCCTTTCGGGTTCCACTCGAGCAATGGCTTGTCTAGTGATGTCACTCACTTGATGGTTTCCTCATAGTATGACCAATCCATCTCCATTTCTTCCTGCATATTTGTTTCACAATCGGTTCCTGGTTGGTTCACTCCCAAAGATCCCTGTTGCTGATCTTTTCTGGCCGGCCACCTGATCTTGAGTATTGAGCGAAGACAACTGTTAATGAAGGTTTGTAGTTTGTTTGAGATGCTCTTTATGACGCGCAGTGCAAGTCTCTGATCCGCATAGTGAGTAGCACTGACTTCACATTGGAGTTGAAAATCCGGATGTTATTTTTGATGCTGAGTACTGCTGACCTCCACACAGACTTGAGAGTAGTGAAAGCTTGTCTTGCTTTTCCGATTCTTGCTTTGATATCCTCGTCAGTTCCATCCGCCTGTTGTTGAAACGATGCTTCCGAGGTAGGTAAAAGAGGTAGTTTCTTCCAGGTTCCTCCCATTTATGCTGATTGTTGTCTGTTGTTGTTGTTGCCCAGGAATCTTCATCACCTCTGTTTTCTCTATGTTCACCTGAAGTCCTATCTTCTCTGGATGCTTCTTCTGCCAACTTGTTGCTTTTCGCTTGCATGTCTTCCAGTTTGTGGGAAATCAGACATATATCATCGGCAAAGTCAAGATACCGATACCGATTTGATAACTAAAGAGTTCCTCATGGCATCCAATTCATGTCGGAATCAGAGATGAACTCGGAATTCCATTTTTTGGATGTTTCTCAAATAAGGAGATCTGATGCTTCTCTTCAGAGATCGATCGACAGGAAACCTACATGGAATGGTCAGTACATGAATTTTCATAGTTGGGTCCCTTTGAGAAGAAAGAGAAACCTGATCCACTCCTTATCTTCAAGAATAAGAAGGATATGTTCCAGTGATACAATCGACGGCGAACCGGGGCAACTCAGACAAGTCCTCATAGAGAATGGATATCCTCTAAGATTTATCGAGAAAAACTTGAAGTTAAGGGAAAAGCCTGAAAGAACCCAAACGGTGCCGAAGAAACTGCTATTTATGAACGTTGAATTTAAAGGTGATACTGTAGATGAGATCCTGAAGAGTCGCTTATGCAGATCACTGAGGAAAGCCTTCTTTATGGCTGAGCTACATATCAATTTCTACAGCCGATAAATGATCAACGGATGTGTGAAGGATAAACTGCCACTTTGGGCCACCTGAATGTGCGTTTATAAATTCACCTGATCCTGTGGAGTTAGTAGTTATATTGGCCACACAAAAGCGCACTTTCCAAACGTATCTATGAACTTTATCCGGCATGGTTAGTTAGCAAAATGACAATGCAAGACAATTCTCAATAGCTGAATTCTTGAGTACTTGGTGAACTAAAGCCACGTAGCTCCACCAGAGTTGTCTTTCAAGATCATCCATCTACAAGATGAGGCCAAATGGTACAAACAGCGTCAGGTTTCGGGGTTTTTGTATGGCGGAAGCGTTGGCAATTCGTCAATAAAACGGCGAACTCTGTATACAGAAAAAGTTTGTCCAGTCTCTTATTCTACCTTGATCTTAACCTCTTCATTACTTGTTCCCTGTAAAAAAATTTTCTTTTTTTTCTTTTTTAATTCTCAGTTTTACTTTTAGTTTGCTTTTACTTTAACAATTAATTCACTATTATCACTCTCATATGTTCCTTTTGTACATTTTCATACCCTCTTCACCCTTTTTAAATCGACACTCAACTACCACCTTTCTTCTCACTACTCAATAGCAATTTTAACGTTATCAAATTTCTAACGCTTTCTTCCACTGTGCCGTTGAGTACCACGTAATTTACAACTTTTATTTTTTCATTCTAAAGCCACTTCTGAGTAATTATATCAATTATGTCACCCCAACCCCAATTACTCAATAATAGACTACTATACATTTTTGGTAAATATAAATACAACTGTACAGCCTGTGAAGGAAGATGATTTCGTCGATAAAGAAGCATTTTCTTCGCTGAATTCGTCTTTTATTTTCTTCATGACTCAATGGGTATTTTCGGTAAATCCACGATATCTAGCTGTGAAAGCCAGTTGTAAGATGTTCTGAACATGTACATTTTGAGACTCAAGGACATAATTGAAGTACAGTTATCTCATGTTGTATTGGAACATGTTACCACACCCACAACCAGATATTTCCTCAAGTTTAGTAGGGAATCGCGAATCAGAAGCTTATAAATATTCTGAATCCACACAAAAGATCATATCTTAATCGATTAAAACAAACCCAACGAGAGAAAATATATGCAAAATAGGGAGATGGGAGTTTTTTGGTAGCCCAAGTCTTTAAGCAGGCCGCCATTTATGACCATAATAAGCAGAAATATGCGATTGGAAGAAATAGTAACGTGAAAAAAATGAGGATTCAATGAGTACACACAAGTGAAAACATCTACATCATTGACAACGATTCTCAGCCATATCACCTAAAGTCTCAAAACCATTGATCCTTAGTGACCCAAGATCTCCAATCAGACAGTCTACAACTCAAGATGTGGTTGGCTCAAACTGATTGTCAAAGTCTTCAGCGATTGATGTCAAATTTTGATTTGACTACCCCTAACACTGAACTAACGGAACTGACGAGGATACCAAGGCGAGGATCGGGTAAGCAAGACAAGCTTTCACTACTCTCAAGTCTGTGTGGCGGTCAACAGCACTCAGAATCAAAAATAACATCCGGATTTTCAACTCCAATGTGAAGTCAGTGCTACTCACTACGTAGATCAGAGACTTGCACTGCGCGTCATAAAGAGCACCTCCAACAAACTACAGACCTTCATTGACAGTTGTCTTCGCTCAATACTCAAGATCAGGTGGCCGGCCAGAAAAGATCAGCAACAGAGAACTCTGGCAATAAGCGAACCAACCAGGAACCGATTGTGAAACAATTAGGCAGGAAGAAATGGAGATGGATTGGCTGGCCATACTCTGAGAAAACCATCAAGTGACGTCACTAGACAAGCCATCGCTTGAGTGGAACCCGAAAGGGAAGTGGCGAGTTGGTCGTCAGTGCAAGGGTGACTCGGAGGAGGTCATGTGAAGAGGAGATGAAAACGTGTGGACAGACTTGGAGCCAGGTGAAGACTCTAGCAGAGAACCGAAAGCAATGGAGACGCAGGGCTGAAGCCCTATGTTCCTCAAGGAATTAAAGGAAACAATAATAAGAATAACACTTTTCAAACTAATCCTATGTTAGATAACATCTCTCATCGAGGAATCGAGTAACTCGGAATGCTCAATACGCGTAATGTCCTAGCTATCTCAACCAATATAGCCACAAAATCTTACCGGTGAACTTCGCCTCCTCACCTAACACTCAATAACATGTCATCACATTAAACACGGGAGAAAGAAAGCAAACAACTAACTGTGGTCAAAGACAGATAGCCTTCTCATGTCTCCAACTTTCAATGACCATATCTCACAACCATAAGGAAGACAGTGAAATAGTGCGAAATACACACATCCTATGGATGATAGTCAGCCGGATATCAGTTCTATGCCAGAGATGATATAGGTTGGGATTACGTCAGAGATCAGTCCATTGGGGTTGATGGGCAACTTTCCGTATAAGTGAATTGGTCAACAGGCTTCATCACTTCACTCCTGCCTGTAGTGAGAGCTGTCTGCTAGCCGAAATTGGTAGACAGCAATTTACGTCAATGTTTACGTCCCCAATATTGGTCATGAGAAAAGAACAAGAACAAAGACTAACTCAACAACCAATCACAGCAGACTTTGTGTGGGAGGATACAATTCGTAGATGGATGATCTGACCTCCAAGGAAACGGCCACAAAGAGATCACAGATTAACTTTCAGCGAGAAAACAACCAATCAGAAGACTCTGTTTGTCTGCTAACAATAACGCTAATAATAATGTACATAAAAATCTACAAATATCTGTTGATTTTCTCATAAACGATCTGTTGCCTGGCCCTTGTCTTCTGTCCTTACATGCCTATCTTTAAGCAAGGTGTCGATATATTCCAGTCGTGTAACATCATCATACATTTGACAGGAGAAAATCACATGCTAAACATTTTTAAAGATTTCTGCTCAAGGTGTTTAGAACACTCTGAATTTTATCAGGACAAAATCATCCGAATACTCTACGTCTACAAGACTGTTCGTTCGTAACAATCAGTCCCTTAAGTAGCTAAAATCAGTTAGTGTCAATTTCATTGGGGCATCTACGATGAAGCTAAACAAAAACTGGGACATTGAGAAATCCCCCATTCCGTAAAGGTAAAATACTAACGCTACTGCAACTTCGAAAAGCTTCAATACCACCCCACTCCTACCCCTCAGAAGGCAAAGGAACAAGAGAGGGAAAATTTACAAATTTTGCACGCAAAAACAAACAGTTGAATCGAGTTCCAGTGGCTCAATGGTATACAAGCTTGCCTGGTAGCCGGAAGGTCCTGGGTTCGAACCCTAGCAGCGGGTGCATACTGCCGATGATTCCAAAACTCGGAGGAAACAGCTGTCGGGCAGTACTCCCTGCTGGTTTTCCCAATGGTTCTCTAACTGATATCAATCCATGGTCCAACTCGTAAAAACAAATCTAATCCTTGCAAACCAACTATTTAAAACAAAAACAATAAAAAATAATCCCCACTTACACAACGATATCGTTCCAAGTCAATTTTTGCCCGACGTAAACGTTCCCAACCAAAGTGTTTAGTACACTTATTATGCGGTACAGAACAGAATTCACCAGTTTCAATGAATACATCACGAACAAGTGGTGCTCCACACACTGTATCTGCAGGTAACTTCGGTTCTTTATAATGTTCACACACAACACGTAATCGTTTACAATATGCCTTAGCTTGTGAATCATAAGCATCACAAAATAACGGAGTACCGATGATTTGTTCTTTTTGATTTGCACAGAATACAGTATTGCCTTCCATCTGAAAGATGACAACGACAAAAACAACAAAATAAACAGAAAAATTAGGAAAGATAGTGTTGTGGTGAGGGCTGGCTGCTAGCCAAAATTGGTAGATAGTAATTTACGTCAATGTGTCTGTAAGTATGCTATGTACTTCGTGCCGTCTAAGTGCAAAGTACTGTTACAGGATTGGCAGGAGCCTGTACCTGCACTCACTCTTGCGGGTGAACCGCTTGAAGTTGTTGATAAGTTTGTGTATCTGGGTAGTTGTGTGAGTGCTGGCGGAGGGGTGACGGAGGAGATTTACAACCATATAATGAAGGCTGGGGTGGCATACATCAACTTCAGCCACCTCTGGCGCCGTCGCGACGTTAGCCTGGCTGTCAAAGGTTGAGTATACAATGCTTCGGTGCGGGCTGTATTGCTCTACGCCTGTGAAACCTGGCCTCTCCGAGCTGAGGATGTGCGGCGACTCTGCGTGTTCGATCATCGCTGTCTCCGCAGGATTGCTTGCGTTCGATGGCATCATCGCATGAGTAATTCTGAGGTTCGGCGGCGTGTGTTTGAAAACAGTGGAGATCACCATTCATTGAGTGTCGTCATCTGGAAACACCGGCTCCGGTGGCTTGGACATGTGCTGCGAATGTCATCCCAGAGGCTTCCGTACAGGTCTCTCTTCGCTAGCACTGGGACGGGATGGAAAAGACGGAGGGGTGGTCAGTCCATGACGTGGCGTCGTGGGATGAAGGATATTTGTGCTAAATTAGCATCGGCTGGTGCGTCACAACTCCCTGGTTGGGGTCCGCGAGATAGCTCGAATCGATGGCTGGAAACGTTATCAGATATGGCCAAGAATCGTTACAATTTCCTTCTTTCTTCTCTTTCCGACAATAATTGACGAGTGATTTTTGAACTTGTTAAACATGACATGAAGTTCTTTACCCGTTCTCTACTTATATATTTTACTTTTGATCTATGTTGTTTTATTATTATTGTGTGGCGCATCTTTCTTGGTGCCATATTGTACCAAGTTTTTTTTCTGCGTTTAAATAAACGTCAATGTGTACGTCCTCAATATTAGTCATGAGAAAATTAAAAACAAAAACTGACTTAACAACCAACCACTTTGCGTAGGCGGATACAATTCGCAGATATATGGTCTGACCTTCAAGGAAACGGCCACAAAGAGATGACAGAATAACCTTCAGCAAGAAACGACCAATCAGAAGATTGTGTTTGTTTGCTTATAATGATCTATAATAATGTACATAAAAATCTATAAATATCTGTTGATTTCCTTAATAAACGATCTGTTGCCTAGCCCTTGTCTTCTGTTGTTACACTGTGATTAACCAAATCCAAGGGCACTAACCTGGTAATTAGAATAATACATATATAAAAACGAATATTATTGTTGTTTTCAATAAGATCTTATTCAGACATTCCTCCGATTTACATAGATTTATATTTGAAATAATTAGTTCCCTTTATGAATTTGGTCAGATAAAGCAATAAGAAGACGTAATTTATCTGAATCGTGTTGTAATGTATTTGCGTGCAACACACATTTCGAACAATCTGATCACACACACACGAACTTGTCATAGGAATATATATATTCATGAAATTAATAGAGTTAAGAGGTGAGAAAACAGATAAGTTAGGTCAAGTTGAAAGGCCATATTGATGAAGGTCAAAATAACAATGAAGATCACTAAACCAAAGAAGGGAAGTCGTAGTAATACACATATTGCTTAGTCGACAGCTTGATGGATCAATAAAACGATCTATTTATAGAAAACCAAACTACATGGACAGGACACTATCTTAATTACCACAGTTTCTGCTCTTTTCGGTATAAAAGAGCCTAAGTAAGGTACCTCTTCAGTTGAATCCAACGAATTAGCACTGAAGACACACTTGATGAAGAAGAAAGGAATTTGACACAAACTCTGGTTGATAGTAATTATCCAGACAGGTTCATCAGCAGATATAAAGTAGTCAGTGGAACACTAAGACCCATTCTGCAACTCACCACTAATTAAGACATGTACATCAAGCTACCCTGTATGGGTGATCATAGCAGCTTGATAACTAGACAAGGGTTGAACGCTGCTGTTAGGAAAAGACTTTTTATGCAGCTAATATCATAATAATAATAATAATTGAGGATGTGAAGCCAATATATGCATTTAAGCCCTCTGAACATGCGAAAAATGATGTCACAACACACATTTCGAACAATCTGATCACACACACACACACGAACTTATCATAGAAATATTTGTATGAAATTAATAAAGAGTTAAGAGGTGAGAAAATAGATAAGTTAGGTCAAGTTGAAAGGACATATTGATGAAGGTCAAAATAACAATGAAGATCACTAAACCAAATAACAGAGGTAATAGTACATCTACCCTGGCTGGTATCAAAACAAAGTTTACCAAGGAAGGTGGTCTAGTATGATGACAGATTGTTTCTCAACGCATAAAGGTGGTTTAAACTTCCTAATTGCCAGCTACGGCTTCCACAAACTTTAGGATACGCTCTCCCCAAACACGTTTTATACATAGTTTTAAAAGATGTGTGGAAACATCATTTTTATGTTCTGTCTCTATAATATGTTTCGCAATAGAGGAGATAGGTCTCCTGTTCTCACCATTAATGGGTTCTGAAGATTCCATTTGTTTTTGGAGCCATTTAGGAATATGTTCTGAAGCCAGTCCTTGATTGCAGAGATCGATGAATCCTCTCTATGTATGTGTGTCCACACAGATTGGTAAATACAGTGGAATGTGACGTCATTTTCCGCATGTTCAAAGGGCTTAGATGGATGGATATATTGGCTTCATATTCTCAATTATTATGATATTAGCTGCATAAAAAGTCTTTTTAACAGCAGTGTTCAATCTTTGTCTAGTTGTCAAGCTGCTATGATCCCCACATATAGGGTAGTTTGATGTATATGTCTTACTTGGCGGCGAGTTGGAGAATGGGTCTTGGTGTTGTGACTACCTTATATCTCCTGATGAACTTGTCAGGATAATTACTATCAACCAGAGTTTGTGTCAACTTTCTTTCTTCCTCATCAAGTGTGTCTTCAGTGCATATACACTGGATCCTACTGAAGAGGCACCTTACTAAGACTCTTTCGTACCGAAGAGGGCAGAAACTGTGGTAATTAACATACTGTCCTGTCCATGTAGGTAGGTTTTCAATAAATAAATCGTTTTATTGATCCATCAAGCCATCGACTAAGCAATATATCCAAGAAAGATAAACAACTATCTTCCTCTCCTACAGAGTTAAGTGATATGCTTTTCTGAACTTCATTCATAAAAAGTCTTTTTTTGACAGCACAACTCTTTCACCAAACTATTCATGTTATTACATAACTCTTCTTTAACAATCGTTTGTGACAACTCATCACTTTTGTTACTACTACCCGCTTATATCAAAATCCAATTCCTCTGAATACTTCTTTTGTATTAAGAAACTCCACCCCCAAAACTTACTACTTCTCACCTGTTTAGTTAAAATAACCATAACCAATTGTCTATTTTTGTTTGACAAACTTAATGTACACAAGCATACAAAATAACCCATTCATATGTACTTGAGATTGTACAGCTAAGAAAATGAATTCGCCGCCAAAAAGAGACTCTTCGCTGAACTGCTGGTCTTCTTTCTATTAACTGAAATAGTGTCAGCAAAGATTATTTTGTTTTATTTTTTTGATTACAGCTTGATTCCACACCGTATTTCTTCGTACAGGTATGGAATTTTCAGCATGTGATATCGGTAGCCCAAATTTTGCAGGCCGACCATAGATATCAGGTATGCGTCGGCAGGGGATCGAACCCCAGACCATGTGCATGGTCAGCGAGAGTCCTAACCACTGTGCCACCGACGCACAAATAGGAGAGAATAAAAGAGCCAGTTGATTTTGCTAATAACATCATAGTAAGTCGCCGGTTTGGCGCCTAACATTATCTGTGTCATGTGGAGGATGCAAGTCAAATAGCGTGTCGTTGAGTTTCAGTACTTAGTTGTACGAGCGTATAATTTTTTATAACGAATAACTTCTGGTCCTACCTGATAAGATGCTAGGCGAGGAGAGAGTTCAGAATAGAGAGGGGGGAAGTGTTGAGAGAGACAGTCAGACAATATGGATTTGGACTATTTCTCACATGAGTTCATGGTGTCTATCGTGACTAAACTAGTAAAGACGAGTTAGCTGACTAGTTGCCACTACATAACACAACACAATACATGGCACAACTCATGGAAAATTCCCATTGTAACATATATAGAAAATCAGAACAAGTGATGATTCAGCGAGGAGACTCTTTTCAACGAATTTATCATCAAGCTGTACCATATATATATATGATATTATTGTTCCGTTGGGTTACTAGTGGAACATAGGGCTTCAACTTCACGTCTCCACTTGTTTCTGTCTTCTGCTGTACTTTTCACTTGCATCCATGTTAATCCATACCGTTTCAATTCGTCTCCACACGATCTCCCCCATGTCACCCTTGGACGTCCCACTCGCCGCTTCTTTTTCGGGCTCCACTCGAGCATTGGCCTGACGCGCGATGTCACCCAGTGGCCTCCTCAGCGAGCGTCCAGTCCATCTCCACTTTCTCCTGCGTATTTGTTGAGCGATTGGCACTTGCTTTGTTTGTTCCCATAGTTTCTTGTTGGTGATTCTTTCCGGCCATCTGACTTTCAGTATAGAGCGAAGACATTTGTTGTTGATAAAGGTCTGCAACAGGCTGTTGGAAATATTCTTGGTGACCCGCCAAGTTTCTGATCCGTATAGCAAAACTGACTTGACGTTTGTATTGAAAATCCGAATTTTGTTGTTGATGCAGGCTGAGTGACGAAGATTTCCAGATTGGTTTCAGGTTGATGAATGTGTTTCTCGCCTTCCCGATTCTCGATTTGACATCCTCGTCGTCCGTTCCTCCTGTAGTTGAGACAATGCTCCTTAGATAAGTGAATGAAGTAACCTCTTTCAAATCCCTCCCGTTGATGGTCATTGGCGGTGGATGTTGCTGTTGTTGTTGTTGTTGGTTGGTTGGTTATTTTCATAACCTCCGTCTTGTCTATGTTCACCTGGAGTCCTGTCTTCACTGCCTGCTTCTTCGACCAGTTTGTCAGTTTTCGCTTGTAAGTCTTCGATTTTGTGTGACATCAAACATAAATCATCCGCGAAATCCAGGTCTTCTAGGTTCTTCACGTCGGTCCAGGATATCCCTGTCTTCTCGTTTCCCACTATCTGACGCATAATCCAGTCCACCACAATTAGGAATATCATTGATGATAATAAGCACCCTTGTCTGACTCCTGTGTTTACTCCAAAAGGTGTGAATGCATAAAATAATGATAATAGTATGAAATGCAATTAAAACTAAAATGTTTGTGATTATAATCACAGCTAAATGTCAAGTGGTAAAACAATTAATGTCATATATAGAATAATTCATAGGATGCATAGAACTTGGAAGGGGTGTGCAATTATAAGATTAGTAGACAAATCGAATAAAATAAAAACGTTACGTAATATTGTGTGAAATTTGATTACATAGAAATTAACATTGCAAAACAGAAATGATTTAGAATGACAAGTGGAGCGAGTGAAATAATACCAGGGACAATTCAAAGTGAGAATAGTAATAGTAACAATTGACGTAATAAAGGGAGAGTATACAAAATGCATAAACAAAACGAAGAATAGGCAGAGCCAAAATATGATTGGGGATTACCATACTTTATCACAGAGGGATTAAGACCATGAGGGGGTTGAACGAAATTTTTCTGTACACAGAGATCTAGCTTTTCTGTTTCGATAGCCAAAGAGGGCTTCAGCAATACAGATGAGTCGGGTACGTAGTGATTTGGATAAATTACTGTTTGCCTTGTAGATGACATTTAAAGGCGGAGACTATAGAGATAGGGTGATCATTATCGACCAGATGTTCAATGATCCCGCTTCTTATTGCTCCACTTCCACCTCTTCGTAACTACCATGCAGGATAGTGTTCTTGCACCCTCTTAAACAAAACTCGAGTCGAACGACCGATATACCCTAGCTCCACACGAGCAGGTGAATGGATAAACCCACATAGAGTTGGTCAGCAGTGGGATCTTGTCCTTCAGGTTATTGAACAGTAATGGTCGACTAGTAAATTTCATACTATTATTATTATCATTATTTTATGCATTCACACCTATGATTCAATTCCCTCACCGGATATAACTTTTTAAAAACCATATTTATATATATACGATTGTACAGCTTGATGATAAATTCGTTGAAAAGAGTGTCTCCGCTGAGTCTCTTCATTTGTTTTGATTTTCTACATAGCACAACTGTCCATCAGTGTGTATCATAATAATAATAATAATAATAGTAATAATAAAATATCCACCTACCTTTTGAAAACATTTCTCCATATGCTTTAAAGCATGCCGCATACTGACTTCTGCTGAACACGTGACACATATTACAGATTCCATTTGTTCAACTTGTTCAGTATCTTGATCAACTGCAGAAAGCTAGAAAAAAAATATTGAAAAAAAATAAATGGAAATAAACAAACAACAGTAAAATTTCATGTTAAAAATACAGAGTTGTTTTAACGCGCACACACACACACACAAAAACACACATACGAACGAACAGTTGTAGATTTTAAGCTAGATGATGATTATAAATCCCCAGCCCCCATCAGAATTGACCACGAGCTGACATCACAGTCAGAGAACCATTGGTAAACTTGAGAGCTTTTTCGTCCTAGTTTGGGACTCTTCATCGGTACGCACCCATCAGGCCCTTATACAGGAAGTTACCTGGCGTACTAGTGAGAAATAGTAACCAACGGGGTCTATGAAGTCAGGCTGGCGGTTGCACTAAATATACATCACGAATTGGCAGCAGTTGGAATTCAATGCACTGGCCATCAAGTTGGTTCTCCAGTTGCTGAATGGTCTAATAGCTGTCCTCGTAAGCGGATCGTCCTCGTTTCGATCCCCGGTGGATGAATACTGATGAAGAGTCCCCAAATAGGACGGAACAATTGTTCAGCACTCTCAGGTTTCCCGATAGTTCTCTAACTGATGTCAGGTCGTGAACAATCCTGTAACCAAGCAAATCCCTGAAAACTAACACTTGATAAATCCACATCAGTTATCGAATCATCAAAAACCACGGAGCACCATTCATTAGTAACTGACTACAGGATAGAATTCTAGTGCAGAGTTGTAATCGGTAGGGTTTAATAAATAAGATGTGAGGACAGGTAGTTGCCGATGACATTCAATTCCGTCCCAGTTGCTAAATGGTCAACGTGTTTGCTCGAAGGTCCTGGCTGCGTACCGCTGAGGAGTCTCGAACTAGACCGAAACAGTTGTTCAGGTACCCCTACACCCCACCCCACCCAGTTGTCAATCAGTTCCCCAAATGCCCCTCTGTTAATTAACTTAAAAGCAGTCATATCCCTGCAAATCGGTACTTTCTGTGATCAACAGGAATGTAAAACTGGAGGAGAATTGGAAAGTTACTGTTCGTGCATTTGATACCGGTTTTCTGTAATTCTATAGGCTTGGATTATTCTCCCTTTAATTACCATTCATAAAATATTTTTGACCGACATCTATATCTTCTTGATTCTCCTCTAGGGTACGTTGAATCATTCTTTATATGACCTTAGGAATAAATCATAAAATTCGCCACGGTTTCAAGATAAAGAGTCAAAGAAATGAAATTCGACCTCAGCTCATCTGTATAATCAAATTGTCAATTCCGCCTGCGTAGAGGTGAGGGACCACAAACCATCAAACTAATTTCTCAACTTATAATGAAATGTCTAAGACGGAAATCGTGCAAGCCGTTGGGGTCCTCGGGACGGTAAATACCAATGAAGGCTGGAGGCAATTGGTGATATGGCTCAAAACCTTCGTTCTCAATGGCTAGCGCAGATGCATCCACTCCTTGTGATTTATAATACCCAATAAAACTATTTTGTTCTTCGATGTTACTATTCTTTTTGATTGCATGGAGGATTTCATCATGAGCTGACATCAGTTAGAGAACCACTAGAAAACCTGAGAGTACTGAACGGCTGTTTCGTCCTAGTTTAAGACTCTTCATCAGTACGCATCCACACTGCGGGGTTCGAACCCAGGACCTTCTGGTTACAAGGCGAGCTCGTAGACCATTGAGCCACTGGGACACGATCCAATGGTCTTTTAATTCTAACTTCTGCCAATTCACGACATAGCGCGACCATTTCGCAATGTCTTCCTCTATGAGTTACTGCCTCATCTTCGACCTGCTGTACCCTATTCTTTTCGACCCATATCTCTGTTTGCTATCTTTATTTTGCGTTTCTTTTTACTTTCTTCTCTGGCTTTGTGTGTTGAGTGAAGTGTGGCGACTCGAACTGCTACACATCGGTGCAAAGTTCTATTTTGAAACCAGTCAGTCAGTCATTGCAGTAGACGTACACACAAACTGCACTTCATATATCTGACAGAAGGCTGATTGAATTATTTTCAAAATAGAACATTGCACAGACGTGCACCACTTTAACTTACCACACTATACATAGCACACAAAGGTAGGGGAAAGAGAACCATAGAGAGAAGAAATGTGAGGGAGAAATATTGGTAACATGAAGGAATTGATATGGGGACTTGCAAAGGGTGAATGCATCTGCGCCATTGAGAACGAGGATTTTGAGTCATATCAACAATTGTCTGTAGCGGCTGATTATTACCATTCCGAGGACCTCAACGGGACAGCAGTCTATAATCCTCTACGTGACTGGTTTAAACTAAGTGTTATGGATACCATTGACTGACGAAGCCACACTAGCTCTCTTCCAACCTGATCGATCCTATGTCAGTCAGCTAACAATGTTCATAGAGGAAAGCGATAGCTAGACATGCACGCGTAACACATGTCCTAACCAGCTCATTCAATCGATGTAACTTTACAACCTCGTCGATCGACTTTCCCTCCCTACCTAGTACTCCACCGAAGCCTAACCTCAATATTACTCACCTTATTATATCATTTAACACGGGAGACAGAACGCAGACTACTAGGATCAAAGACAACTAGCCAGCCTTTTCACATCTTCCACTTTCAATGTCCATGTCTTACTCACAGTGAACTACTGAGCAGTATACACGTCCTTTGATCGATGGCCAGCCGGATATCACGTCTACGCCACAGATGGCGTAAGTTAGCAAATGCCAAAAGAGCCTTCTATATCTGTGCTGAGATTTCGTCAGAGATCAACCCTCAAGGGCTGATTCAACTTCCCAAATAAGTGAAGTGGTCAACACGCTGTACCACTCCACTCCCTATCTTTAAGCTAAGAGCCAATGTAGTCCAACTTCCAGTGGTCATATCTCACAGCTAAAAAGAAGAACAGAGAGAACTGCTGTTGCCCTAGAAAGACAATAATAAAAAACTTTAGAACTAAAACAACCAATCTAAGACAATATAACCACACAAAAAAACTATTGCTTAAGCTACATATCTTCATTATTTCAAAATATTAAAGCCGGACTTCGCCGGTGATATATGTCTGATTTTCCACAAACTGGAAGATACGCGAGCGAAAAGACACAAGTTGGAGGAAGAAGCATCAAAGATAGGACTCCACATGAACATAGAGAAAACAAAGGTGATGAAGATTCCTGGCCAACACCACCAACAGCAACAACAACAACAACGGACAACAATCAGCATAAATGGAAGGAACCTGAAAGAAACAACCTCTTTTACCTACCGGGGGAGCATCGTTTCAACTACAGGCCGACAGAACTGACGACGATATCAAAGCAAGAATCGGAAAAGCAAGACAAGCTTTCACCACTCTCAAGTCTATGTGGAGGTCAACAGCACTCAACATCAAAAATAAGATCGGCATTTTCAACTCCAATGTGAAGTCAGCGCTACTATACGGATCAGAGACTTGGTGAGTCATAAAGAGCATCTCAAACAAACTACAGACCTTCGTTAACACCTGTCTTCGCTCACCACTCAAGATCAGATGGCCAGAAAAGATCGGCAACAAAGATCTCTGGGAGCAAACCAACCAGGAACCGATTGTGAAACAAATAGGCAGGAAGAAATGGAGATGGATGGACCATATTCTGAGGAAACCAGCAAGTGACATCACTAGACAAGCCATTGCTCGAGTGGAACCCGAAAGAGAAGCGACGAGTTGGTCGTCCAAGGGTGACCTGGAGGAGATCATGTGAAGAGGAGATGAAAGCGTGTGGGCAGACTTGGAACCAGGTGGAGACTCTAGCAGTGAACCGAACGCAATGGAGATGCACGGCAGAAGCCCTATGTTCCTCTAGGAATTAAAGGAAACAATAATAATAATAAAGCCAACAAGAAATCTTTGAAAATAAAAAAACCAAGTGAAAGTCTTACCGATTGTTCATTCTCTCGCCCAGTTTTACGTTCTTGAGCTCGACTAATAAGTTCTGTAAGTTTCTGGTGTTCCATTTCTAATTCAACTAGTCGATTATGCACTGTACACTGTTCTCGGCTAATCTCTTCAAGACGTGATTTATCAAGCAGTGTAGCCATACAATCAGGTAATTTTGACAACTCATATAGACTGTTTTTATCTTTTGTTAAAAGATCAGGATACCAAGTTTTACAACTTTCTGGTAATAGAGTTTCTAAACGTCTAGATGAGAAAAACAAAAACAACAGGCAATTATCTGTTAATCTTTAATAACCTATGGGTCTGTCTGTCTGGATTCAACATAGAACTTCGCACCGAAGTGCAGCACTTCGAGTTGCCACGTTCCAAATAGCACACAAAGGTAGACAAGAACATGAGTAAAGATAATCAATAGAGTTTAGATAAGTATAAGAGTGAAACAGAATGAGTAATGGTAGAAAGGAATATGAAAGATTACAGAGACTAAATACATCTGCGTAAGCCATTGACAACGATTTTGAGCAATGTCACCTATTGTCTCCAGCCATTGATTCTTAGAGTCCCGAGGGCCCCAACCCGGGAGTCTGCATCTCCCTACCTGACTCAGTTTAACTGTCAGGGATTTCATGGATCGATGCCATGTTTTTGTTTGGCCACCACTTACTCTTTTCCAACCTGCACCTATATCAGCTAGTAATGCCCGTCGGGGGAGACGATCGCTGGGCATGCGCAGCACGTGACCTAACCATCTCAATCTATGTAACTTCATAGCCTCGTCGATTGATTTTCCCTCTTTGCCCAACACTCGACGCCTAACGTCAACATTACTTACCTTATTATGCCACCTAACGTGAGAAAGAGATCGTAGACATCTATGATCAAAAACAGTCAATCTTTTCATGTCTTCAACTCGTATTGGCAATGTTTCTGAGCCATAGAGAAGGAAAGAGCAAAGTGCTGAGCAGTACACACGTCCCTTGGTTGGTAGCCTGTTGTCACTTTCTCTTAATAACCTAAGGCAGATTTTAATTTCGTATTTCAACACTCCTTAATCACCAGTGGATAGCTGTTATTATCTTGAAGTGATGGTGAGTGGTCGGGTTTGCACATCTCAATGACCCATCCCACCAAACACGCTACACTGGCTAGAATCACGATGCCGCAAAAGGGTCATTTGGATAGCAGTTAGACTAAAAGCTGTTACCATCATAAGTCTGGAATCTATCGGTGAAGTCGTACTGCTAGCGAATAAGAGTGTAACAAAAGTAAGGCGTTCCCCTCAGATGACGAACAGCAAGCCAACTATTCTGCCTCTCCGTTCATTGTAGCCCGGGGGCAGACGTAGAATAGGTTGACCCCAAAGACTGTATATCCCGACTTATCTTGTAGTGGTCCATAGCCGACAATAAGATCTTAATATGAATGCGACTCTAAAAACCACTTCAAACAGACCACCAGCTACAAGCAATTGTCCCATTGGGCTGTGCGGTCACGCAAGGCACTCCAGGAAGAAAGCAGCCGGGAAGGAGTAATCCACTGCATACTCCTATAAGCACACAAAACTATCCTGAGCATCACCCATTACGTCCCGTTATCATGTTTAGTTGAAGCGTTAGTAGGCAAATTCATATACATCAGTCAGTATTCCATGTTATGTACAATCTTTTAGTCGTGAAATCGACTATATACAATAGAAAGACAGATATACATTGATAGTAAAGTGTTGAACTACGTGTATTTTTCCATATTAGTTTGTTTATTAGATGGATATATCACACAGTGAGTGAAACAGTATTATTTACTGGATGACAAGCTTTCGAACAAAATTTATTGTTCATAATCATATCAATTGTAATCACACGACTTCGTAACTTGAGTTTTATAGTTTGCTTTATTCTCTCCTATTTGTCGTCGGTGGGGTAGTAGAATTTTCCAGATATCTGGGATAGGTGTTTAGTTATTCCTATTACACGTATTTGCAGTTGATTCGATAAACAAAGCTTCCGTTATCAATCTCTCCCTCCACCCTGTGATCTTAGATTTTAAAACTGTCATCTTATCCCATCCTACTGTATGGTTGTGTGTGTGTAATTGCATGAAGTGCTATAGGTGAACTATTCTCCAGTTTTCTCATCTTATTCGGGTCAACCAATCTAGATTTTGCTAGAATTTTGTGTTCCGCCAATCTGACTGACCCCATTGTACTACTTTGACCTATGTATTTGACCTGACAATCATTGCAGGCAGGGTATTAGATAAACTAAATTGTTTTGTTTTAACGGCTCCACAGAATTGATCCTTTAACCGACAAAGCTTATTTCTAATTGAGTTTGTCGATTTGAACGGCAGCCACTTTCACTCCTGCATTGTTACGTATTCTCCGTAATGTAGTGGTTTCCGAAGTTCCTTCTTTGTATGGAGGTACTACTGATGATTTCAATTACCTATTGTTGCTGTTGTTATTATGCTGTGCATGTTTGACATGCATGTCCTCATTAATATTATTATCGATATCCCTATCACCACCATTATTATTTTTATTTTTACATTTTCCTACATACTTTCTGACTAATTTATCAGGGTGATTATTAAGTTTCAAAGCTTCTCTTATATGCCTCACTTTCTGTCTTAGATTTTCCTTGGTACTATTTAGTTTTTGTGCCTTATAAGTTGAATATTTCACCAATCCTAATTTTACTGACATAGGATGGGATGATCGGAAATCCAAATATCAGTAGCAGCTCTACTGAGAAACTCCAAAGCTTGTATCATTGATATAAGAATAAAGCTTGGGCACTGTGGTAGAGTGTAATTCCATTATGGGTAAATTTTATTTTGATAGAGTCTCACAGTAGACTTAATGTTTCCCTCAGAACACAAGGAATGCAAACAAAACAAACAAAATGTGCCACTCAGTTTGATTACTTAAGCGCAAAATGATTCATGTAAGTCCAATCAACTATTTACACAGAACGATTGTTATAGTTAGAGAGAAAAATTTAAAACTAACTAACTAACTTGATAGCAAGTTTACGACCACATTCATTGGAACAATATTTTGTATCTGGTCTAGCTGCAGGTCGTGTACATCCAGGGCCGAAACATTGTCTAGGCTTTTTCAACTCATTCGGTATTGATGATTCAAAGGATTTTTGTGGATTTTTATTTTCATCTGTTGTTTTCACTTTTTCACGTCTACGTCTATTCACCTTTCGACTAGATGCTGACGTATGAGCTGTTGTTCTAGCGCCTCCACCCCCACCACCGCCTTGATATCGACTACTATTTTTAGGCCGACCAACAGACTTTGAAGATGTTTTATTCGAAGAGGCAGCAACACGAGTATTTCCTGAAGAAGAATTGTAATGACTTGTTCGTGATAAACTTCCACCAGGTCTACGTTGAGAACGATCACCTCCATGCGAAGAGGAGGTTTTCCGATGTGAACTATAACTACTATTGGTGGTAGTTTTACGTGATGAATGAGTAATCTGTGTTCGAGAGGTACGATTAGAACGCTGAAATGAATTGCCAAAAATATCAATATAGATAATTACGTATACAAAGAGAAGAAACTATTTAATATAATTTTAGATTTTTTCGTCGATTGATTGGACTGAAGTGCTTGGTCTCAGGTTGACACGTCGGCTTCTTATGCAGATGCTTCGACGATGTCTGGGCATGTAATTAGAATTTAATTTAACTGGTGGATGGTGACTAGCAGTGGAATCCACTAGGATGCGCATTTCGTCCTAGTGGATAACGCTTTGGCGTTTGAAACTATGGGCATTGGGTTCAAGCCTCGGTGGGAACATCATCACTCACTGGGGAATGAAGGTACATCCAACTGACGAGTCCCAAATGGGACGAAACGCGCGTCCTGGATTTCACTGTTAGTCACCATCCACCAATTAAAGAGAAGAAACGTTTAGCCAGAGTTATTTTTATTAATAAATGAACGCATTTAACTACAAATTCAACACCTCTTAACTAATCATGGTAAATACCCATCAGAACATTGGAGAGAAAAGAATAAGGAGTTCAGAAAAGATTTCTATCTTTTCGGCGTTTTCATTCACAAAAACCGTATGATCGCACTGATATATGTAAGTTTTTTTAAATTATTTTTATTCCTTTACGCTCCCAGTGGAACACAGGGCTTCAAGATAGAGGCTAGAAGTTTCGGTAGCAATGGTGTTTATTTTTACGGGATGGGGTTTCTGCCGACCTCATGCCCAACCTTCCATCTTTACTAGTCTTATTACTGGCTTAGTGAGGTAATGAAGTGCATCGGCCGGGGGATCGAACCACGAATCACCTGCGTGGTTGGCGAGCATTCTACCGCTGTGCTACCGACACACGTACACGTAAGTTTACGTAAATACAATTATTATTTAATTCCACATAATAACGAAGGAGGGAGATTAAAAGTGATAATAATTTTCCACTTGATATGAATGTTCGAAGGGGGTGAATATAGATTACAAGGGACTTAGAAACAAGAAACCTGGACGTCGAATTAGCAAGAAGAGATGATAGAATTTTGAAAAGATCTATCCACAGAAAACCGTCATGGAATGGTCAACTGGCAAGCTTCCATAATAGTTGGATACCTGTCAGTTGAAAAACAGCTTTCATCGTATTACTGGTCCACAGTATCAGAAGAATTTACAGCACTGAACGCTTAGACAAAGAGCTAATACTTGTCACAAACATTTTATTGTATTTCACATCATTATTCACACTTTTTGCTCATATGTATACGAATGTACAGCTTTGTTAATAAATTCCTCACAAAGAGTCTCTTCGAGCTGAATGTTGTCCTCCTGAAGCTCTAGTAAGTTAAGAGCTGAGTACGCTACTTCTCTAAACTAGTCGAAATAAACTAAAGAAGCATGTTAAGTCGCAGTTATATTTTTTCTAATGAATGTGAAACTATAACAAACATGGTACTAACTATTACTTAAATGCTTGACATTGTAGCCTAAATATCTTGACAACAATAATCATTTAAAAGATAGGAAATAACCATTAAGTCCTGAAGAAAATAAAAGACAATTCGGCGAAGCAAGTTTTCTTCGCCGACGAAATCATCCTCAGAGGTTGTAAAATCATATTTATATCTACCAAAAACGTATAGTAGTTAACTACTGAGTAATAGTGGATGACATAACTGATACAATTAGCCAGTAGTTTCTAAAACAAGAAAATACGCAATAGTCAACGACACAATGGGAGAAAGGATTTGAAATTTGATAGGGTAAGCAGTGTTATTCGATGAAAAGCAAGTTAGTTTAGTGTCTACTTGAAAAGTGTGATGACAGTCAGAAAATTATTTAGATTATGGGATTTTGTTGGAATCTGGACTAATTCCATCGTAGATCTTATCACGCACCAACATGCATTAGAGACCATTAAAGACTAGAAAACGCTGGACAGAGTCCCAAACTATGGCTGTCTAGTAGCCCCGGGTTTTCAATGATCTCGAATTCATGTTGGTTCATGAAAACACGGTTACACCCATCAAAGTAAAAGAAAAATTTCGAAAATTTACTTACCTTTCTGTCATGATCAGAAGCGACCCAATCTTCGTCTTCTTCATCATCATCATCGTCAATATCATCTTCAACATCCACATCATCATCACTATCTAAATCGCTGAGGTCATCCTCATCGTTATCTCCTACGTTGGCATAGCTTCGATGTCCATTGGGTATAGAACGGTTAGATGCTAACCAATCATCAGAAAAATTAGATTCTTTATTATTTTTTGTATTGAATTCGCCACGTTGACCATTTCTCTGTTTATAGGACGTCAGTGAATCACGAGAATTATTCTTAGTGAGACCTTTTATATCTCTTGTTGTTGTTGTTGTTGTGCTATCGTCCCATCCACGGGAAAAATCTGTCCTGCTTGAAGAGTTTTTCTCAAAAGTATACCTTTGACTCATTATGTTGAATGACCAGTTGCAGAAAAACAATTACATTTTATTCTATAAGAACAAAAAGACATAGTACTAAATAAAATGAGTGATAGTATTTTGGTAACTGTACATTCTTTCTTTCAGTACTCAACTACGTTATACTATCTCCTGGAACTACGGTTCATTGGTCTAGGCGCTCGATACGCAAGTTCCAAACCCTGTCTAACTATTGAGGTCTGTGTAGCCAGACAGTATCCCTAGACATCGCACAATAGGTGTGGTTTACTGCCAACTACATAGAATCTATTAAAACGTCTTTACATCATGCAACAATTTATCCCAACAATGACAAAGAAATAGATACCATTTTATGGCATACTCCAGTGTCTAAACTGGTCAAGCAAACGGAGTTTCGTGAGAGTTATCTGTGGATAAATCCATAAGTGCTTCATACTTAAAAATTTTAGCCAGACTAAAGTATGGTGATTAAAAATATCCAGAACATAGATTGTCATCTTATAAAATATAGTGATGTAGGTAGACTAGCAACCAAATGACCCTGGATAACTAGACATTTTTGTAGATAGCAAGCTCTAAAGGTGACAAATTGAGCACGCAAAAAATAATCATACAGTGTAGCAACTTCCAAAAAGTACTAGAAATGTGTCCAGGCTTGTCATTGGATTTATCAGCATTAGTTCAAACCCCTTTGACACATGAATTCATTGAAACGATGGTATGTCGTGACCATGGTCAATTGTAATTTATCGTTGCTATACTGTTTCTCAGACGCTCCAATAATCCCGTCATGGAATTCATATATCCCATAGGACAGATCAACGAAATCAAGAAAATGGCTGAGCGTTGTGATTTTTCTGCAAAGTCATCCATTTGGTTGGTCGTTCGCTAGGGTAACCAAGATTCCTAATTCAAACATCGATCAAACCATTTATGAGCACTTCAGTCTTAAAAACAACTAATATATGATTCATAGTAAGGTACTGGTGAGAAAATGAGGTAAAAATACTGATTAATTTTCTATGTTGAATTTTTCCCGGTAAAATGAATTAAGCCGATGTTATCCTGTCACTAGTAATATTTTCCTTTAAAAAGGTATGTGCTAAAACTTACTTAACCAGAAGTGGCTAAATTTATCCTGGAAAACGCTTATTAACATCTGTACTACAAAATATAGCTATCAACCTATGAGCTGCCAGCTAGCATTTTATTAGGCAGCTGCCATTCTACCCAACGCAGGCTAAGACATTCATTAATACCAAGTCTCAACAGTTACTGTTCCTCTTTGGGATATTTTCATGAAAAGAATAAGAAAGGACATCGTTCAACACTTTGTCTACTCACGCTTTTGTGCATTTACGTTTCTTACATTTACATTTTGTAACGCAAGGTTGCATTTCGCGCACAGTTGTATCAAGATTCAGATTTATTGGTTGAGGATAGAAGGCTTGGATCATATGTAGACCCTTCTCTAGTAAATTTCTGTGGTTTTCCAAAACCTTATTGAATGAATCAGTTGAGGTTTCAGACACCACGTCTTCTGGTAGTTGGTTCCAAGAGTTTATGACTCCCTGTGAGAACCAGCACTCAACAGCTATATGATTTCTTCTTGGCTTTTGAACTCTCCTGCTATGTCCTCTAAGGTGTTCCGACCTGTTGGGAAGGAAAAGAGGGAACAGGTCAGGTTCGTAGTCATTATTTTAAATTTTAAACATTGTGATTAAATCTCCTCTCTGCCTACGGTATGACAGGGAGAAGAGATTTAAACTGTCTAGTCTTTCCTCGTATGCCGAGAACCATACGTGTTGCCTTCCTTTATACCCTTTCTAGACTGTGTGAGTCCCCTTTAGGACAAAGATTGGCTGCCTGGATACAGTTTTTTAGTCTTGACCTCACCAAAGATATATATAAGGAGGTGAACATATCTCTGGTGATTCTAGTGAAGGCTTTGTGAATTGCCCTTAAGGATCTGAAACTACGTGCAGCCACCGCGTGACAGTGTGCTGTAGTTTCTAAATCGTGGCTAACTACGACACCTAAGTTCAAGTGAGTCTGAACTGATGGAAGTGTTATTCCCTCTAGTTCGTAGGAGCTGATGCACATGGTTGCAAATTTCGGCACATTGATAGGAAGCATCCATTCTATGGACCTTCTGACAATTTGCATAGGTCCTCTCGCAGCGCAGACGTATCACTGTTGCCCTTCAGCTCTCTCCAAATTTTTAGGTCACCTGCGTATAGGACCATAGGGGAATCGGTGAGCAGAGATAACTCATTGATATACAAAATAAACAAGAGAGCTCCGAGTACCGTGCCTTGTAGCACTCTGCTACGCACTGCTACCCAGGGGGAGAGGTTCGAGTTGATCCTAACCCCCTGCTTCCTATCTATGAGAAATTCCTTGAGCCAGTTTAGTATCCTGCCTTCGATACCAAGAATTTCCGAATTCATGAGTAGTCTTTTGCGAGGTACTTTATCAAAGGCTTTGCTGAAGTCTATGAAGACGACGTCAACGGGTCTTCTGTTGTCCCTTGATTTAACCCAGCTTTCTCTTGCAGTGAGGAGATTTGACAGGTATGAGAGGTTTCTGATTTAATTTTTTATTTATTTTATTTTTGATTACAGCTTGATGCCATATCGTATTTTCAGTACAAATCTGGAATTTTCAGCATGGATATCGGTAGCCCGAATTTTGCAGGCCAACCACAGATTTCGGGTGTGCGTCGGCAGGGGATCGAACCCCGGACCATGTGCATGGTCGGCGAGAGTCCTAACCACTGTGCCAAGCTGTGCTCTGGATAACATTTTGTTGTTTTTCAGATATACCGTGGTGCTTTTCTTGAAGATTCTTTCCAGTGTATTGATTAAAGTGCTGGTGAGACTAATAGGCCTGTAATTTAAAAGGCTTTGTCTTGATCCTATTTTGTGGATGGGTGGTTACTATGGCGTCTTTCCAGTAATGCAGTAACACTCTATTTAGGAGAGCGAGCTTGAAGATTGTGGTCAGGAGGCCGGTTGTGTGAGCTGATAGCTGCTTAAGAAACCTTGGATGAAGATTGTCAGGACCCACTGATTTCCCTGCATCTAGTTTCATTAGGCAGTTGAGCACGATACCTTGGTCAGTGTCAACGGAATCTATCCCGTATTCCTCTGATGTAGCCAGAGCTGATTCTATAGGGAGTGATGACTCCTGTGTAAAGACTTTGGAGAAGTAGTCTACCATTACTTCTGCTTTTTCTTGATCTTCTAATGTGTCATTGTGAATAGCCAGGTTTGGGACACCATTGGATGTTTTATTCCTGAGGTTCATGTACGAGAAAATTTTCTTCTGTTATACCTTTGCATTTTGAGCGAGATGTGCTTCGAACTTTATCCTTGACTGGTGAATTTACGCAATAGCTTCATTCCTAGCAGTGTTATATAGTTTCCTGGTCTCAGGAGTCTCAAGTGTGGCAAACAGGTTCCAACATTTGTGTTTACGTCTGAGTAACTTACGAATCGCCCGGTTTATCCAAGGGGGGCAATTTTTCCGACCCTTTGGGAGAGACCAAGGGATAAAAGGTTCAGTTACTTGGTCGTAAAGTTGTCTGAGTTGGTTCCATGCGGCTTCTACCTGGGACTCTGGGTTGATGCACCAGTTCACTGAGTTTGGCTGATGAGACGATCGCATTTATATCAGCTTTCCAAACGTTTGTTCGAGCTGGAGTTTTGGCCCTTGTTGCTGTTGCTTTGAACTTGAAAGTGAGCACAGCATGATCACTTCTTCCTAAAGGAGGAAGATGTATGAGATCGACATCCTCACCGTGGGAGAACACCGGGTCCAGAGTTGAAGAGGTGTGCTGTGAGTCATAGCTCGTGGGCTTAATGACATGTTGGGCTAGGGCTAGCGATATACTAGATTCCAGCAGTTTGTGATCACAGGAGTCCACTGAAGGTGGAGTTGTAAGGCTCACCCACTCAACTGTTGGGGCGTTGAAGTCACCGATCACGAGACTCAGACATTTCGAAGTCCAGGAGCCTAGGTTCTCTAGCAGGAAGTCATCTGTTCTGCAGTCAGGACTGTGATATATAGCAATGAGGTCAATGTCTTGGCCTATGCATTTAAGTCTGCAGCGTAGAAGTTCGCACGATTCACTTTCGTGAGTGAGTGCTTCGATGTTACGCACAGTTAAGCATTTCTTGAGGTAGATGACTCCGTCACCTCCTTTGCGGTTTATTTGGTTCACCCTATGCACTTAAAAGTTTGGCAGATTAACTTCGTTGCCAGTGACACCGGGTGTGAGCCATGTCTCTGTGATGATAATTATATTAACCAGCTCAATCCGTTTGTTCAACTGGCTGTGGGCGTTTGTGTAGCAAACTGTCAATTCAGTTTGGTGCTTCCACGGCCTATCCACGGGGGTTTCGGGGTATCAAACTGCCAACTTTGACAACGCGAAAACCCTTAATCTTGAGGTTCTTTTCGCCGTTTTGACGTCGTTCACTTAATTCTACGGCCGCAGACTGTCTTTTGACACGGTCTGATATGCATAAGTCGACACGGACATATATGCCTGATCCTTTAAGAATTTGAGAGTTGCTTAGAATGACATCCCTCTGTTCTTTGGAGTTTAGTAAAACTTTAAGGAGACGTACAGGCTGATTTACTGTAGGGACAGGTTTTTGGCCGATTCTATATACGCTGTGTATTGTTATGCTTGATACTGGATGTGGCAGTAGCTTACCCAAAAGGGGCTTGACCAAGCTAAGGTCATGTTCAAATCTGGCCTCAGGATCAGAGGCCAAACATAACAGCACAAGAGCGACTGCCATTCGAAGGAAGATAAAAATGTACCAAACAGTAGTAACATGTAGAACAAAATGACTAGTGAATCACTTTACATACACATAAATGACAGAATACAACATTCATCCATAAGCGGTGGGCGTTTACATTAAATTAAACAATAATCACGAAAGATAGGTCAGATCACGCTGATTGGTGGATTATCACATGTCTGTCCGTCACCATTAATAACAAAGTAAGGTCATATTGATTGTTCTACTGTCTACTTGTTGTGATTAACATTTTCTTATTCCTCACCGCTAGTCATACTTCAGCATATTTCAAGCGCACATGACCTTTCTTATGAAGTTATCTGTTTCCTAATTACAAGAATATCACCTTGGTAAAACAGCGACAGGTACAATAAAGTGGACGCATGTTGAGAAATATTATTGCCTGAAGACATGTGTTCATATCTACACAGACATAAACACACAGACGTGTATTATGAAGATAAGATGCGTTTTCAAGTACAAAATTATCCCATGGTGGCAAGCGTTCACAAATAGTCCATTCAAAAAGTCACATATCAGTCGAAATGATAATCAAGGCTAAGTTTGAGTGGGATATCATACCTGCGTGACCTGACAATCACTCTAACAGGGTATTAGATAAACTAAATTGTTTCGTTTGCTTGGCTGCACAAGATACTATACCTGACAAAGCTTATTTCTAATCGAGTTTGTGGGTTTAAATGGCAGCCACTTTTACTCCCGCACTGTTACGTATGCTCCGTAATGTGGTTTCCGAGGTTGCTTCTTTGAATGGAAGTACTACTGATGATTTCAATTCCCTGTTGTTGCTGTTGTCATTATCCTGTGCATGTTTGACATGCATGTCTACATCAATATTATTTTTATCATTAATATCACTATCACTACTATTATTATTTATTTTATTTTTACGTTTGCCTACATACCTTCTGACTAATTTATCAGGGTAATTATTAAGTTCCAAGGCTTCTCTTATATGTCTCACTTCCTGTCTTAGATTTTCCTTGGTAATACTTATTTTTTGTGCTCTGTTACTTAAACACTTCGCCAATCCTATTTTCACTGACATAGGATGAGATGATTGGAAGTCCAAATATGTCTGAATGTGTGGGTTTCCTGCGAGCACTAGTGTTTAACTTCCATCTTCTTTCCTTTTTACACTGCAATCCAACACTGGAAGCTCCCCTTCCTGACTTTCCAATTCATAAGTGAACTGAATTTCCTCCACCACTGGTTTGATGTGTTCGAAAAAACTATTTATATTCTGTATTCTAAGCACAGGAGATGTGTCACCTTCACACCTCCACCATACTTCTGTGGTGAGGCTGACTGAATGTTTCAGTCGCTAAGGTTTCCCACCTATCCATAAATATATCTGCCACGACGGGAGATTTACCTCAAGAACTCTTGGTTTATAAAGTGGTCTCGAAAACTATGAGCGTTGTGACAGGCTAAGATTAGAACCACTCTGGAAAAGACGTCTTAAGCTAAACCTTATTTTTACTACAAGTTAACTAATCTTCTCTTACACCCCTCCGAGCCAATAACTAAACCTACTGCTGTCATCAGTTACAACCTAAGAAATCATCACAACCTCGTTACTATAGAGCATTGTCAGACTTACATACGGCATAATTTCTTCTGAAATAAGTTTTCAGTCATTTGGAATAGACTACCAGCTGATGTGCGTGATGCAAACTCACTTCCGGTGTTCATCTCCTCAGTCACCAGACTGCTCAAAGATAACAATGCACTTCTGCGTCTAACTCTTACACCCTCTTTTTCACCCCACGGAGATATTTTAAGTTCATTAAACGTGTAAGTTACAACGAACTACAGTTATAAATTTTAATGTTATTGTAAGTACATGATCAACAACGATATTAGTTCACACATAATATAAAAGTTAGCATAACAAGACTAGTTAGTTAGTGTACCAAAATAATCATAGTTACTACACAGAACATATATATATGTATATAAATTTATTAAGCACTTCTTGAGGACTCCATTTGCTTTCTTTTGTGCTGCTGTCTATTGTCTTCTTTTTTCTTTCACCATTTTAGCTTCTATATGACTGTTTGAACGAGAATGAAGAATGTTGATATTTCACCACTCACAATGACAAATGATCTGCAAACATTATTGTTCCCATATCTTACAATTCCATCGTGAATTGCACATTACCTTTCCCCACGACGCAACCTGGATTACAGTTGTGGAATATACCTTTGTACCAATGAAAAAATATTAATTTATAATACTTCACGATTGTAATTTATAACATAACTGATCGTGCCTGTAAAATAAGCTTGCATTTCTTGTAAACACTCGTTTATAAGAAAATATAAACTATTATTATTAGTCTACATTGAGTACAACTCACCTGTGATGTTACGATGACAATGTTGACAAAACTATACAAGTGTATCATTTATTTTAAATTATTACCAAATTTGGATACAAATCAAGAATAAGACTCGATGCCGTACACACCAAAGTTATATGAAGGAATTACTTCAAGCTTTATTTTTTCTCAAGTATTTGTACTCCATTTAAAACATACTCGTGTTGTTTTGTCAATGCGGAGAGAATATTTCCTACATTTCTTGATGTGCTCCATTGAATGACTAGTTATCATATTGTTCCCACTAACCAAAGACAAAAACGACAGCAACCATGTAATTTTGCCATAAACCAAATTTATGTAATTTAAATAATACTTATCCATGCCTGTACAATTGGTGTGTTCTACACAGGTAGGAAAAATTTATATTTGATTGAATTATTATTATTAACTATGCCTACTAGTCGTATATGTAATTTATCGTATTGATGATGCCCGTAAACTGGCATCCCTCTTGTACAAAAGTGAGAATATGCAATTATTACTAGTAGTGACCCCATGGCAACTTACTCGGGTTCTTTGTATATTTTCCCCTGAAATTTAAACACTGTGGAAGTCAGGCATAGCTGCACTCCAAGCATTATGTCCTCCAGTGGCACTTTCTTTCTAAGTTCGAGTTCTTGGTCAGAAATGGGTTCGTTTCTGACTGCCTCTATAGCCATATTTATCATTGGTATGCATGTATATAAACTGACAATGTCAAAACTAACCATTTTTCTTCATTATCTAATTTTAAATTACCTGACCTATGTTTTAGTTCATAAGAACTTGTTAGTTTGGATTTTGGGTGACTTCTTTGAGGATTTAGTACCATAGCTAAATATTTAGAAGATTCATAAGCAGGTGAATTTCTAAAATCAACTATGGATCTAATAGGGTATGCTGACTCATGAACTGTAACAATCCCATACATCAGACTAGGGTAATTAGTTTTCAGCATTAAGTTAAACCATTTGGACTCACCCAGAAGTGACTTGATTTGACGTAAAAGGTCCGCCGTGGATATCTGGGTGAGTCTAAATGGTTCAACTACTACCCCTACAACAAATGGGAAAGATAAAGGAAACTTTTAGGCGGAAGTCTCGAAGGTGCATGATCGCAATTGTTGTGATTATGAACGATATATTGTGTTCAAGACGTAATCCAGTAAATAATACCATTTCACTTTGTGATGTATCTACTTAACCAATTTATATATTATTCTTTTGCTTTTGTGTGTGATAAAACCTGTGTGATTTATTCTACGATTGCACCATAGTTGGTCGGTTATTTTGCAGCTGTCTCTTCTGAGGTTACGGTATATCTCATATGGAAGGTGACGATATAACTTCTGAAAGATAGGTAAGCATACATAATAGCAGTTTACTCTTGTCATGGGGAATTCCTCAACTCAAACAGTCTCATTTAAAGAGAGCTTCAGTGCTACAAGAGCCTGCTTCACGTTTCACGTGGTGTCTGCCGATGGTTTGGAAAATATTCACAGACCAATTAGCAACCCTCCTCTGGATCGTAGTAGCTGTGTCATATAGTTTTACCTCAGCGATTGCGGTTTGCTCTGACTTTATATCTCTGTTAGTCCTAATATTTACTTTGCAAATATAGTTGCTTCTATGGCGTGGAGCGTCCGTGCAAAACATGACACAAACGAAATCCAATTTACTTTCGAAAGGTTACTGAAAGGTTGTTCCCCTCGAACTGTACGTAGGTAATTTTATAATGACGAAACCATGCCTACAAAACTAGTGTGTATACTGAGACAAAAATGTACATTTTTATACATATTATACCATATTATTATGTTAAGGAATTATAGTCTTGAGAGATTTATGCATCGTAGGATAGGTCTACGACATCCCAGAAAACTGTCAAGACTCTACTAGCCTTAGTTTGACTTAGTAGTCTCCAGCTTCTAGGCAGAGGTCGAAAGACTTATGGCGATTATGAAATGCAGCGGGACTGATTTGAAAACCTGGGTGAGGACAGTCTCCATTTAGGCTACTGTAAGTGCAGTGTTATTTATACGGTGATCAGCAATCTGAGTAGTTTCTAGGCTTCCCAACCTCAGTTGCCTACAAAGATGTTAACAGAATGATTGTCCTATTAAGACTGCTGACCTCATGCATGGCACGTAGTAGTATGTGACTATTCTGTGAGCACTTCATTGAGACGGGTTGATGACTAAGAGAAATGGGTCATTAGTTGACTGATCGGTTAACACTGATGCCTATTTGGATCATGAATGGGAGAGACATTTGAGGATATACTTTAAGTGGTTACACTTAAATGCATTTCTTGGAAGACACAGTGGTCTAAAGAATCGTATTCACTTGGCAAATACACAAGCTAAAACGCTTATGCTTCGCAAGAAGTTGTGCAACCCAGCCATCTTTACTAGGTTCCGACAGTTTAGGTGCGAGATCAAAAGTAATTTGAAGACTGTTACTTTACTAAGGGTTTAAGGACTTGAATTACTGGTAGTTGTAGATTTACTGTGCCATTTGAATGACTTTTCCTGTATTTTAACGGAAAGGCTGGGAAAGCAAATAACTGGGTAAGATGAGAGCGGCTTATGACTTGCTTCTTACGGTCATGATCTAGCCTGGAGAGTGAATAGAGAAAAGAATCGTCACACATAACCGAGGAAATAATCTTAGAACCGCCTCCAAATCCCGAACCTGGTAGGGTTGCGAGCCCAGAAGAGCTCCTGATGTTGACAGTATTCCTCAAAACCCCAAATGAGTTGTCGGTGTTGTCTCGTCTGTCACTGGGCCAGTACAACTATCGTTATTGCATTACCACTGAAAAATATCTGAAGCGCTTTCAGCATACTGAAGGTGACGAAACTTAGTTGACTAACATCATGGATTCAGTGGTGCTCATCCTCGTTCGACCTACTATTCCTCTGATAATGGAAAGGTGCACTATCGAAGGTTGGGTTAGTATTTCTGGGAGTGTTTAGCTCTTTGAATTTCGCAAGGCCTTTGAGAAACCTTCATATGGAGGCTTGTGGTAAAGTTAAGGGGTTTCGTGGTAGATAACATAGTAAGATATTGGATCAAGAGCTCTCTGGTGAGCTGAATATGACATAGATTTTTTCCGGAGTTTGGTGAGGCGTGACCAACTTCAAGTTGCAGGTTTGTGTCACCATAAATTTAGTATCAGTCCTGATGCTTAACGATGCTTTGGGAGATGATCCATAGAAAATGGTATCAGGAAGGGTAAACGTCTGTATATTGTTCATTACAGTCTTCATTCGCTTTACTTTATCATCTCGTATATTGATCTAGGTAGGGTTTTTGAGTAATGGTTATTTAAGAAAACGGTGGAGTAGAAATTATCAGAAGTTTAGAAATCTTACTGGATATGCTTTAGACTTTTACATGTGTTAATATAAACATGTTTTGGGTAGTATACCAGACTATATCAGGCCTCAGTTCGAATATGTCAACTAAACGATTAGCATGAGGCAGATATGTTAAAAATAGTTCAAAGAGTTGGAATCGGAATGGCCACCCTGCTGTTAAATTTATCGTTATGACATAGGTTGGATATTTCTGATTTCTTCGCACTGTGATATCAGAAATTTGTTGTTATATTTTCTATTCCGCTTGCAGTAATTTTAGTGCCATCTTATTTCACTTGGAAAGACATTAATTCGGAGTTAGAAAATAGTTCTGAACTTTTCTTAGTATTGAGCTTCACTTCTTGCACCAAACTACACCAGAGCAATTATGTGGTTTATTATTTTCGCCAGTGAAGATTGAAACTGATTGACCTAACCCGGGAATAAGAAACTTCAAGGTCATGCCTGACGGTCCGACGAATAAAGTGTACGTTCGTACTGTATTTAATTGAGTTATTAGTCTTATCTGTGGGGATGTTAAAGGGAAAGTGAAAGCATTGTTTTCAAGAGTTCTAAAAATTATGGCTACAGCTGGACAATTTGATGTGAGTTGTTCGGGCAAATTGGTCCAATAAATGTTTTGTAAATTCAGATGATGTTTTGTTTGGGAGACTTTTTCGGAAATAATATTGAAGAAGTAGAAGGGCTGATTGATGGAAACATTGCGGGTACTATTTGCTTTCTTCTTATTTTCAGTGCCCCTTCCAACATACATTGTGTCTCCACTTACAGAATCTGCCCGCAAATTTTGTGATCAAGAATCTGGTTGTAAACTTTGCAGCAACCTCACATATTTAGGTGAGTATGATTTCTTACTTATTGCTTTTAGGTTCTAAGGGTACGTACACTACGATGACTGGTCTACGTGTGGTGTACATGGCCGAGCGAGAGGTCAATTCTGATAGTTCCAGCCTACCACCCAGTTTACTCAGCGAAGCTCTTGCAGCAGAAGACTATGGATTTCTGGGTGTTGATCTTCTGCTCACCTGTCAGTGGCCAAAACACATAGATAACTGCATAGTTGGTCAGTTCCCCGATACTTGTCAACCTTGCCTTGACGCTGCCTCTATGTCGATTTCTCGACTTGCTTTTCTTACTCGTCCGCGGTACCACTTTTCGTGTGGCAATGGTGTATACTACGAAAGGTCACCATACAGGTATTCATTTACATTTAAAACTTGTTATGTTATTCAGCCACATAAAACTTGATCGCCCAGTATTTCCATGACTGATATACACGCTGAAACTATTCTTGTGCATTCCCCCACTCTTATGATACCACTTAGTTCCCAGGATTAGTGCGAACAGGACGTCTGTAAGCATATCTGAGAAGTGTAAACAAAGCACCCACATGGTTTCAATAACTTTATTTTCTTAGTGGATCATAGTTTTTGGTATCTGAGCTGTCACAACAGAAATTGCCTACTTAGCCAACTCATCAGTACAGAGTAATTCAGAAACGAAGCAAAATGAAACATTACTGAACAGCAGTTTGGATTTAAATGCATTTGGTAATAAGTACATATTGTATAAAGTCTGTTTATACCATCCATTCGGGCATCCCTTTGTACGTGAGGCGGGGTCCTGACGATTAACTTAGTTGTCGCACGCTATTTTTACAAGCTAGTGAGGTACATTTATACTCTATTTCGAAATATAATTGTTTATTCCATATAAATACGTAAATTCCCATGTAAAGCCTAGCATTTTCACAGGTACAGTCAAATGGGGTACAATTGCAAATCTCGAAATGTCGATAAATTATTATTGTTTCGATAGTTTAAATAGTTGATTTGTAATATAAGCTATCAGGACAGAATTATGTAGATGTTAATGTATAAAACTGTCGTGAAGATTGATCGGACAACCCGAATTTTGTCTCGTTTGTTACGGATGATTGTACTCCACCAATAACCAACAAATATTCATGTAAAGTTAGTATATTATACATTCAGAGTGAGTTGTTACTGTGATCAATAAGAGACGAGAGAATTGAAGAATATTTGAAGTTTGACTGGTGACATTGTAATTATAATGTGAATAATAGGGATTCAGACTATTTCGTTCTCGGTTAAGTTAGATGTTGTTTGGTATTTCATCACTTATTTATCGTTATAATCAGTTGAGAGTCACTGAGTTTCAAATGCATGCTGTAGACAATAGTAACATTGCATCTAGCCTCCTGAATGTGGTTTACTGTACCGTTTGAGAAGCGGTATGATTTTGCGGGTTCCTTGACTCTTACTGTAACTATCTTTACCTTCTATTTATTGATTGACCAGAGTCGTTGGTCCTTAATATGAGTAAATTGCATATACGGAAACAGAAAATAATACGTAGTATGTTTTCGATCTAAGCTTTGGGTTGGTTTTCTGGGATAGGGTCGCTAATCCTATGCCCCATGGCTTCTCTCCACACTGAAAATCATATGGCCAGAATGGATTAGCAACGGAGAAGAACCCTGACAGTGAACCAAACAACCAAAAATATATTGCCCAACAAATAGGCAAAAGGAAATGGAGATGGATTGGATATACGCCATGAAGACCTTCGGGTAACATTATGCGCCAGGTGTTCGAAGGTGACATGGAGGAGAATGTGGAAGAAGGAGATGACAGTTTATAAACGATCGTGAGGCCAGCAAAAAAGACTACAAAGAACAGGATTAAATGGAGGTGTGCTGTTAAGGTCCTACATTCCGGTTAGAATCCAGGGGGTATAATAATAATGTCATTGTTGACTACTTTATCGCATGGAGGATTTCATCATTAGCTGACATCAGTTAGAGAACCACTGGAAAACCTGGAAGTACTGGGCAGCCGTTTCGTCCTAGTTTGGGACTCTTCACAGTACCCATCCACCTCCAGGGTCCGAACCCAGGACCTTCTGGTTACAAAGCCAGCAAGCTCGTAGACCATTAAGCCACTGATTTCAGCTCATGATGGAATCGTCCATGCAATCAAACAAAATCCCTACAAAACCAATACTTGAAAATTAATTTGATACTCACCAGCGACTGGCTCTATACAGGCAGTGACCTGGGGTTCTAGTGGGACGCCGTAACCAGTAGGGTATAGGAGGTTGAGCATGAAGCAGTAACTCATAGAAGACGTTGCAAATTGGTCGCGCTATGTCGTGAATTTTCAGAAGTTAGGATTCAAGGACCATTGAATCAAGTCCCACTGGCTCAGAGGTCTACGAGCTCGCTGGCCTTGTAATCAGGTCCTGGGTTCGAACCCTGGCGGTGGGTGCATACTACTGGGGAGTCCCAAACTAGAACGAAACAGCTGCCCAGTACTCCCAGGTTTTCCAGTGGTTCTCTAACTGATGTCCGCTCATGATGAAATCCTCCATGTAATCAAACAAAATCCCTACAAAACCAATACTTGAAGACTACTTTATTGACGCAGAAGAAGAAGATTACTCGATGTGTCATCTACATAGTGTGCAAGTCTTCAGCAGGAATAGAAGTTTAAGTTTTAGAAAGGAGAAGAGTTAAATATGAGTAACACCACTAGTAATCACGTGAACTGGTCGATCTTTCTAAGCTCCCAAAAGCATCGTTCATTTTAGAAACAAGAATAAAGAAAATTCATATTTCGGATACGTCACTGTGCGATTTATTTTCATAAATAAAGTAACATCTAGTTACTACTTAGTGAATCATTTGAAAATTATTGTCGTTGAACTAACTATTTGTTTTTTAATCTAGCAGTTTCCTTTGAAGACAATGTTTAATTCTTTGCGCCAATCAGCTTCCCACCTGAGTTACATTATATACTTTTAATCGACTTGTTATTGTTTTGATAACTTCAAGTTGGAAAACTTCAATTTTTTCTTTTTTTCTTTCTTTCTAGAAATCATCGTGTATTACAAGAGAAAGCATGTCATACTACACGTTTTATAGCTTTGGCTGATGTGAAAAATCCTCTTAACCAAAAGGTAAAAATATATTTTTCTTTAAAAATTCCATTTATTTATATTTTTGTTCATAGTATTTATATGCTCTAAAGTTGACGCCTATCGACAAAATGGATCATCTAGACTTGATTAATCAACCACCGGATGTAACCGAGAATCCATATCTTGGAGTTATTGATCGGGAACCTGTAGCAGATAAAGAAACAGTAAGTTAAACTGTTTTTTTTAATTCCTTCCTGTTCCCAGTGGAACATAGGGCTTCAAGCTAAGGTCTTGAAGTTTCTGTAGCAGTGTTTATTTTTACAAGATGGGGTTGCTAGCCTCATGCCCAACCTTTCCTCTTCGCCGGCTTTATTTCTGGCTTAGTGAGGTAAAGGAGTGCACCGGCCGGGGATCGAACCCCGGACCATATGTGTCCTAACCGCTATGCCATCGACGCATAAAATCATGCCCCAGGTGAGAGTTAAGCTGTAATCTGACTAAGTGCATGTATTTTTTCATCTTTTGATTGGTTGGTGATTAGCAATGGAGTCCACCAAGACACGCACTTCGTCCTGCTTGGTTATCATCATCTGGATACACCTGCATTCTAAGTGAGGAGTGTCCCCACTGGGATTTGGACTTTGCACCCATCGTTCCAAATGCCAGAACACTACCTACGACGGCGAATCAACGGGAATTACAAGATTAACCTGAAAACAAATGATATCTGATACTCGTTGCAAAAGAGATGACTCTCGTGACCTCCATTTCCTCGTAGATAGTGCTTTGCCGCTTGAAACGATGAGTGTTGCGCTCAATTCTCAGTGAGAACACCGTCACTCACTGGGGATTGAAGGTACGTCCAGATGACGAGTCCCAAATAGGACTGAATGCTCATCCTAGTGGATTCCACTGCTTGTCACGGCCAATTAGAAATAACTTTACTTTAAATCCTTAAAAGTTGTCTAAGCGTTCGTACTAGACGCCGACATTTCAATAGAGACAACTTTTCGGTACAACACACTCACTCAATGCATAATTAGCCTGAAAGTGTTTTAATTTGTTATATACACGCCGGGGTGGTAACAAGAATGGTTGGTGTCCTGTTTTTCGTATCTATCAGTTTGCATCTTTTGTTTTTTGACGTCAATGAAGTTAATGTTATCCCAAATATAAGGGTTCCTTTTGTTCCACAGTGCGTAGTTATGCTTTATGACGGAGTCATACGAATTATGGAGCAGAAATAGTGTCATTTTGTTGTTATCCCGCCTCAACATCTTTAAATGGATAGGCTTAAACCATGTCATAAATCTTCCAGTTTCCATTCGCTTATTATATGTAACTGTTGTATGGCAAGTAAGGCTAACTGATTAACTTTTAACTGTGAAGCACTGCACTGACTGCTACACGTAACAGTAGCGAAAAGGAAAATAATGAAAATTACAAATGAATAAGAGAGGTGTAAAGGGGGAGAGTATAATTCAGTGAAGGGTGATAAATGTTTTCGAAATTTGGATGATAAAAGGTTTGTGAGTAGTAAAATAGTAGTAAAGTAGGTTGTAATGCTTAATGCGTCACGCCCAGCAGCTTGTGAAAAACGAGTGATAATCATAATAAGATATTACTGGTGTTTTCTGATAATCCAATCAAATTAAATATAAGTAATAAAGAGACACGAATTGATCATGGTTCTGCTCTGTGAAGAGGATGTATGTTGGCTAGTGAATAAGATTAGTAGGCTTAGAAGCTTTTGTTACTATGTAACTTCCGTGTTACCATGTTTTGTTATTCCTTTGGGTTCCGAGTGAAACATACAGTTTCAGCAGCACATCTCCATTTAGCTGTCCTTATTAGTCGATTCTAGTTGGCTTCACGATTATCCGTAGGCTTTCATTTTCGTCTCAGACAATTTCTTCTACGTCACGTTCGAACTCATACATAACTTGTTATTTCCCTTTTGAGCTCCACTCTAGTAATGTGACTTGGCGCGTGGTGTGTTGGCGTGTCGGTGTTGATGAAAGTCTAAAGTAGCCTGTTGGAAATGCTTATCGTGACGCCTTTAGGAGGGAAATTGTGGGGAGGGGAAGAAAAAACGAAGACTCAATCTGGGATATATTATGGCTGAATGCATCTTCCCTGCTGAGAACAATTTTAGGCCATGTCACTAATAGTCTCCAGCCATTGGCTCTTATAGCATGCTGAGGTCTGCTATCAGGCAGTCTACAAATCCCTGCGTTGCTCAAAACAACAGTCAACGGGTTTGGACTCAGCTCCAGGTAGTATGATTAGTCCTGCCGCAATGGTTGGTGTGTCCTATTACCGACTCTAGCGTCGGTAGTTCAGCAATAGGACGCTCACCAACCACCCACGTGGTCCGAGGTCCGATCTTCGGCCGACGCACTCCTAAACCTCTCTAAGCTGTTAGTAAAGCCGGTAAAAAGAGGGGTTTGGGCGTGACGCCAACAACTCTACCGCGTAAAAATAAAACCGCTGCTACTGTGGTTGTGAATCGCCAATGAGTTCGCCTTATAACCTGAAGATCCTTGGTTCCATCCCTGGTAGGGGGTTATAGATGCATACACGTTTTAGTTATTGATTTTAACTTCTCGTTGCTAACTTTGTTTAAATCTTTGTTTTGTTTTTTATTTATTTATTCTTTTGCATAAAATATTAGGAGGTTCAAACAGACCAATACTTTTATAACTTAGATGCTAAGAAAGAACCATACATTCCTAGAAAGAAAGGCTTTTCACAAAAGCGTAGACTCAACAGTAGTGTTTCAGACGAGACAGCTCTTATCAAACGTTTTTCGAATGATGGAGAAGATACTAGTCAAGAAGGTTTTCAAGAAAAAATTGACAGTAAGTTAGACACGCACACATTACGTATACATACGTGTTCATTGTGACGCTTGCTATTCTTTTCATTCCGTTGAGTTCTGAGTGGGTTTCAAGTCTTGGTAGCGATGGTATTGTTAGCCTCACGTCCAGCCTCTTCTCTTTTCCTTGCTTACTACTGGCTAACGAAAGTTTAGGAGTGCGTCCGTCGTTCAAGAATCAAACGATGGGCCACGTGCATCCGGGTTGCTGAACAGTCTGCCATGAAACCATGGACTCCAAGTAATTGTTATGCTAGATAACGACTCACTTTATTATATATTAGTGGCTTTATTATGTCAAATGATGACTGACTGGTTTCAACATAGAACTTTGCACCGATTTGCAGCAGTTCGAGTCGCCACACTTCACTTAGCACACAAAGCAAGAGAAGAAAGTAAAAAGAAATGCAAAATAGAGACAGTAAACAGAGATATGAGGCAAAAAGAATAGTAATATCGAAGAACAATGTAGTTTTACTGGGGTATTATAAGTCGCAAAGAGTGAATGCATCTGTGCCACCCGTTGAAAACGAGGATTTTGAGCCATATCACCAGTTGTCTCCAGCCTTCATTGGTTTTTACCATTTCGAAGACCCCAACCAGTAGTCAAGAAGTCTACACTTCCCTATAACTGCAAACACCAACTTATCTCTATGACTTCTGTAATCTTTCTTTTTTCCCTCACCATATCATGTAAAGAGAACATCATATTCAATATTTTTAATCATGCAAGGATTTGTATACCGCATCAACAATACTGTGTGAAACAAGCCCACGGCAATTTCCACTTGTATTACTATTATTACTTTAGCTGCTATCATTATTATTATTTCCATTTTATATGCTGCATGTTTTTTTTTTGATATTACCCCTATTGTAAATGCAGAAAAATTTTCTGTGATTAATTTTATTTATAATTTGAGGAAATTAGATGCAATATTGTGATTAATGCTGAAAATTCCATTCTGTATCACAAGTACTGTTTTTGGAATAAAGTAAATTATTATTATTATATGGCTTAAAATAACTGTTGTGGATTTGATTGACTGGTGAAACCATGTTTTGGTTTGACCAGAACCACTAGCTCTTTTCCAATCTGATACTATGTCAGCCAACATTACCCGTTGAGGGGGGAGATAGCTAGTGCTACATGGATTGTAGGCAACTTGAACTGGTGCACTTCTGTGCGAAGTTCTGTGTTGAAACCCAGTCAGTCAGTCAGTCAGCCAGTCAGTCTGTCACTCAGTCAGTCAGTCAGGATCACTTGACCGTTTCATTCTATTTCATACATTCATTCCCCTTAATGAATTTGAACAAAGCAACAACTACAGTTTTAGCAGAATAAAATGGTACCGTCTTTTATTTCGTCGCCTTCTCGTCAGCTGCTTACAGGGCAAAGACATTATTAAATGTATCTACAAAAACAATCTTTCGAACAATTTGCTCTCTGGTGCAATCAAAAATCGATAGATATCCTTCTCATGTTAATTCCAACTGTATATACAAATTTGCATGTATCTGCGGGAGCAGTTACATTGGAAGAACAGAAAGAAGAGCATATCTACGATTTTCTGAACATGTACCAAAAAGCTTATGTCTAAAGGGAACAAATGCTTTAAACAGTGCCATCGCCAGGCATCTTCTTGACACGGGTCATGAGGTGGACGTCGGAAAGTCGTTCAAAATTATCAATAAGCAAAAGAGCTCAATTCTCCTTAATTTTGCTAAAGCCATTTCCATCAAGCGCCTGAAACCTGATTTGTGCGTTCAGAAAGAAGCAGTTATCAGTCTTTCTTTGCCCTGGTAACTGGATATTTTTCATCCGGATGCAAGATACTGAAAAGTTTTCATTGTGTATGATTATTATTGTTCAGAATAGTGTTTAATATTGCGTACATATATATGTATATATTATTAATGTATGCATATATTGACCGATTGATTCTTGTTTAAAAGTGAACTCTGTGCAAGTATGTTAAAATTGTTTTTGTATATATATTTATTAATGTCTTTGCCCTGTAAGCAGCTGACGAGAAGGCAACGAAATAAAAGATGGTGGTACCACTTTATTCTGCTAAAACTGTAGTTCTTGCTTTGTTCAAATATTTCATTCCATTTTATGCATTATTTTACTATAGTCATGATATTGATTAAGTTCTTCTTTACTCCATTTTTACACTTCTTTTTTTCTTTCTTTTTCATTACAGAGAACAAAATTCATGATGATTGTTGGTTTTGTTTAGGCAATCCAGAGGTTAAAAAGCATTTACTTGTTAGCATTGGTACACAAGTGTATGTTGCATTGCCTCGTGGACCTATTGTACCTGATCATGTTTTAATTTTAACTATTGGTCATTATCAAAGTTGGATAACGTGTCCTGATTATGTTCGTGAAGAAATTCAAGCGTATAAATCACGATTAAAACGCATGTATGATGCACAAAATAAAACAATGGTTGTATTTGAAAGGAATTTAAAAACACAACATTATCAACTTCAAGTGAGTACAGTCTCATTTCTTTTTCGGGTGTTTTGAGTTTGCAGGGATCAGAAATTGACTTTAGTTAGATAACTATTGAAAACCCACAGGAAGGGGGGCGGTACTGGATAGCTGTTTATTCCCTCTAATTTGGGACTATTCAGCTGTAGTACGCAACGCCAGGGATCGAACGGTGGGACCCTCTGGTTACAAGGCGAGCTGGTATACCATTCAGCTGTCGGGATGCAAATTCAGTCGTTCATGTGTTTTAACTTCTCCTAATTCATGATATATACAAAGCGCGGCGAGTATTTGTCCTCATACCTATTTCTATTCATTAATAAGGAAATAACACATAGTTTTGTTCATTATTATTATTGTTTCCTTTAATTCCTAGGGGAACATAGGACTTCAGCCGCGCGTCTCCATTGCGTTCGGTTCTCTGCTAGAGTATTGACCTGGCTCCAAGTCTGCCCACACGTTTTCATCTCCCCTTCACATGACCCCCTCCAAGTCACCCTTGCACTGACGACCAACTCGCCGCTTCCCTTTCGGGTTCTACTCGAGCGATGGCCTGTCTAGTGATGTCACTTGACGGTTTCCTCAAAGTATGGCCAATCCATCTCCATTTCTTCCTGTCTATGTTTTTCACAATCGGTTCCTGGTTGGTTCGCTCCCAGAGATCTCTGTTGCTGATCTTTTCTGGCCAGCCATCTGATCTTGAGTATTGAGCGAAGACAACTGTTAATGAAGGTCTGTAGTTTGTTTGAGATGCTCTTTGTGACGCACCAAGTCTCTGATCCGTATAGTAGCACTGACTTCACATTGGAGTTGAAAATCCGGATCTTATTTTCATGCTGAGTGCTGTTGACCTCCCCGCAAACTCGAGAGTAATGAAAGCTTTCCTTGCTTTCCCGACGGTCCCCGCTTTGATATCCTCATCAGTTCCGTCGGCCTGTAGTTGAAACGATGCTTCTCATGTAGGTAAAAGAGGTTATTTCTTTCAGGTCTCTCCCATTTGTGCTGACTGATTGTTGTCTGTTGTTGTTGCTGCTGTTGGTGTTGTCCCGGAATCTTCATCACCATCAGCTTGAGGGAATATCAGCTTTCAACGTTTTGATTTCTTGAAGCAGCTCTACGATTGCATTTATATTGCACAAGAAAAGGTATTATTACGTTGTACTAAAAATTGCTCAGTAGTCAATGTAAACACCATGATGACTGGGATAAAGACAATGAATGTGATATGAGTTAGAGAGCCACTGAAAACCAGCACTGGAGTACTGGACAGCTGTTTCGTCCTTGTGTGGGACTCATCATCAGTACGCACCCACCGGGTTTACAGACCCGACTAAATTGCCAGTCTATGAATTCTGACTTCTACCAATTCGTGATTTTAGCGCGACTGTAACAGCAGAAGGCAAGGCAAGGAAGCCAAGGTATATTCTTCATTAATCGAACCGCTGTTTATATAATCTACAGTTTATATTCGTTAACCAATCATTGAGGGGATATGCGAGAATCATATTCCGTTGGAACACACACTGTCTGTATCACACCACCACCACACGACTACCGCCAACCAATGTCATCGGCGAGTATTGTCCTCACTCCCCGACCCGGAGGGTCATCGAGTCGGTCGGCAGTGATTGAATGGTCTACGGAGCTTTCCTTGTAACCGGAAAGTCCTAGCGATGGATGCAACTGTTGATGAGTCCAAAACTAGGACGAAGCGGCTGTTTTTCAATAGTTCCCTAACGGATATCAATCCGTGGTCAAACTTGAAACTGATCAAACCCTACATGCAAATTCTTGAAAATTAGTATAATTTTTAAGGAGTGGGTTAGAGTTGAAGTGGATGAATTACAAAATATAGTTTTAAAAGATCATTAAATAAGTGAATTCGTATTAACAGTTTCATAAGTGGGTCATGTATGGTCAAAACATTAAAAGTGCAATAATGATTAACAATAATGATTGTAATTATGACGTGAAGTGGAATGATTTAACGGTTAAAAAAAGGAACATTATTATGATCAAGGTAAAGAAAGAAATAGGGTTTAACAAAACATTTTTGAAAATTGGTTGAAGGATTTCATCATGAGCTGACATCAGTTAGAGAATCCCTACCAAACCAATACTTGAAAATTAATCTGATGCTCACTAGTGACTGGCCCTATTCAGGCAGTTAACCTGGGGTTCTAGTGGGAAGCCGTGACCAGTAGGGTACAGCAGGTTGAAGATGAGGCAGTAACTCATCAAAGAAGACATTGCGAAATGGCGGCGCTATGTCGTGAATTGGCAGAAATTAGAATTCATGGGCTGGCCATTGGATCGGGTCCCAGTGGCTCAATGGTCTACGAGCTTGCTGGTCTTGTAACTAGAAGGTCCTGGGTTCGAGTCCTGGTGGGCTCGTGCTGCTGAAGAGTCCCAAACTAGAAGGAAACAGCTGTCCAGTACTCCCAGGTTTTCCAGTGGTTCTCTAACTGATGTCAGCTCATGATGAAATCCTCCATGCAGTTAGAGAATCGTTGGAAAACCAACGGGGAGTACTGGACAGCTGTTTCTTCAGCCTATCTAGTTCAGGTCTTTGTCCACATATAGCTAGGGCTTCGATAACACATAAATGATGGAGATGTAAACCTCCAGAGTGACTGAATTTAATCCTGTTGTGTGTGTGTGCGTACTAATGAATAGCCTCAAACTAGGACGAAGCAGACAGCTGTCCAGTACTCCCTGCAGGTTTCCCAATGGTTCTCTATTTGATGTCAGCTCATGATGAAATCCTCCAATCAATCAAATATGAATATGTGAATGGAATAAGTTGGGAAAGTAAAATGAGCAAATTATTGTCAGTAAGGTAAATAAAATGTTAGAATATGATAACGTAAATTGAAAAAAGGAAACCCAGAATGTGGAGCAAGATGGAAATGAAGAACTTTTGTGGGTCACATAATCAAATTAGGACTGGAGTAAAGAAACAGATCGTACAAATTGTTTTTGTATACAAAGTTACGACTTTATGTTATGTATAATTAAAGCTTCCATTATACAAAGCAAACTATTGAACCTATTAGACGATGTTAAAGGATGCATCAGAAGCTGCTTACTTCATCACTATCTACTGTATGTTACAGTATTGATTGAATAATGGCTTTATACTGTGTTTTTTATTCAGCTGACCTGAGATGTGCTCTCAGACATATGGTGGCTGCATATGTTTCTCAACGAGCAGTTTAATTGGCCTACAGCCACACTTAACCTGCCGAGCATCCAACACCTCCCTAAATGGGATATAGACACAGGTCCTCCGTCCTTAACTGAGGTTACTAAAGCTGTCACTAATCTGAAGCAAGGCAAAGCAGCGGGACCTGATGGAATGACTCCAGAGATATTTAAGTTCGGTGGAGACAGTTTACTGTCTGCATTAACTGAGGTTCTAGGCAGCGTCTGGGAATCAGAAGTTCCATCGGGTTGGTGTAAGTCACTGATCATCCCGATATTTGCCCACTTCCCTAAGAGTAGGTGAACATTGTCAGCACATAGAATCTGACAATCGAGGTAATCTTTTCCTTAACAATAAGGCGTGCACCAGTTACGTCTGGAGTAAGTTCTCCTTAATGATCTTGTCGACCGTTTTTCCCTCCCAGGAATTCACTCATAGTGTCACCACTGCCGAAATGCTAAGTTTAGAATACAACATTCTTAGGTACCTTCTTCCATTCTGTATTAGTCTTGACAAAGTGTAAGCGATAACCATAGTCTATGAAAGTTTATTTCTATTGTATAGGTCCTTCATCAACATTCGTCGGACACATAACTCCATTATAGATAAGATTTTATTTTGATAAATCATACAGTGTTCGTTATACAGTAATATTAACTGATTTCAATTTGTGAATTATTTGTTTTATTGATAGTGTGTGATTTTATTTCTAAAGCTCTATGATCAGTAGTCATTACATTCCCCCCCCCCCCCCCAATTCTTATCTGCTTATTCAAGGTTGTTCCTGTACCGTATTCAGTGGCAGCTCATGTGAAGCAATCATTTCTTGATATGTCAGTCAGTTTTGAAGGTAGTCCATGTGAATTGAAGCAGATTCCTCGTCGAACAGATATCGATCAGGTATGTTTTTTAAAAAATAATAATTTATAAATTCTGCATTTTAAAATAAGTAACTATTGGTTTTATTATTTATTTATTTGTTGTCGTTCCCTTGGGTTCCAAGCCGGTAGTCTGTCTGTCTGTTTTCGACATAGAACTTTGCACAGATGTGCGGCAGTTCAAGTCGCCACACTCCATGTAGCACACAAAGCAACAGAAGAAAGTAGGAGAAATGCATATTAGAGACAGTAAACAGAGGTGTGAGACAAAGGTATAGTAATAACGAAGAACAAAACAGTTTAATTGGAAATCATAAGTCACAAGGAGTGGATGTGCGTCGGTGGTACAGTGGTTAGGACTCTCGCCGACCATGCACATGGTCCCGGGTTCGATCCCCTGCCGGCGCACACCCGATATCTATGGTATGCCTGAATTTGGGCAACCGATATCCATGCTGAAAATTCCATACTTGTACTGAAAATACGGTGTGGAATCAAGCTGTAAATCAAAAATCAAAAATAAATAAAAATATCTGCGCCAGCCATTGAGAACGATTTTGAGCCATGTCACCAATCGTTTCCAACCATTGGTTTTTACCGTCCCGAGGACCCCAACCAGGAAGCCAGTCTACACCTTCCTACGTGGCTTAGACTAACTGTTGTAGATTTCATTGACTGGTGCCATCTTTTGGTTTGACCATCGCTAGCTCTTTTCCAGCCTGACCCTATGTCAGCTAACATTGCCTGTTGTCGACGAAGGCGATGACTAGGCATACGTAACACATGTCCTAACCATCTCAGTCGATGTAGCTTCACAGGCTCGTCGATTGATTTCCCCTCCTTACCTAGCACTCAGTGCCTAACCTCAATATTGCTCACCTTATTATACCAATTCACACGGGAGATAGAACGCAGACACCTATGATCCAAGACAGCTAATCTTTTCATGTCTTCCTCTCTCAATGGCTATGTCTCACAGCCATAAAGGAGGACGGGGCGGACTGTTGAGCAGTACACCCGCCCTTTGGTCGATAGTCTACGCCAAAGATGGCGTAAACTGGCATAGGCGAACCTACCCTTCTGTATTCGTACTGAGATTTCGTCAGAGATCAACCCGTTGGGGCTGATGGTACTTCCCAAGTAAGTGAAGCGGTCAACGTGGTCTACCACTTCACTTCCTATTTCTAATCTAGGGGTCGGTGTAGTCCAATCCTGCAACATCATCTTACATTTTACAGGGGCGAATCGTATGCCAAACATACGAAGATTGCTGCTCAAGGTGTTCAGAAGACTCTGGATTTTGTCAGCGTCCTCGCCTAGAAGGACTATATTGTCTGTATATTCTAAGTCAACGAGATTATTCCCGGGTAGCAAGTCAATCCCTGAGTCTCTGAAGTGAGGTAAGGTTAAGTCCATTAACCAAGCTGGCAGTTCTTTTTATTAGCTGGCTCTATAATTCTCCACAAGTTATTATTTCTTCTTCACACGATCTCCTTCATGTCACCCTGGAACTAATACCCTCAACTCGTCGTTGTCTACCACTCAGCTTCAGCTTCAGGGCCTTCCTGGCGCATATTTTTTTGAGTAGTAGGTTCTTGGTTGGTTAATTTCTGGAGCTCCTTGTTGTTGATTATTCTTTCCAGTTGGCCATCTAATCTTCAGTATGGAACAATAAAAGCAAGTGTGGACGAACGTTTGCAGTAGCCGATTGGAAATACTTTCCATGAGATGCTCTCCATGTCTTGGAACCAATGTAGAAGCACTGACTAACTTGACATTCATTCATTTATTCCCTCTTGATGAATTTGAATAAAGCAAGAACGACAACAACAGTGTGGTTTGTGCAGAATAAGAAGATAGTGCCATCATTTATTGCATTTCGTTGGCTTCTCATCAGCTCAGCCGCTGCTTACAGCCTAAGTAAAATCTTGAGAAAACAAATTTAAAACATGGAATTGACGACGAAGCAACTTCCTATTGTGTCGATATGTTGATGACACATTTTGTAGTGTGCAACAATGAAAGTCATGTTTCTTGCCTACTCAGATTATTTAACGACGCATATACAAATACTGAATTTACTATGGAACATGAAAATGATGGAAAGTTTTGTTCCCTTGGTATTGTCATGTAATGGCTGGAAGATGGTAGTCTCCAGAGGTCAATTTACCGAAAGCTGACATGGAATGAACAAGACTTACATTTTAGTAGTTTTTGTCCAAATAGTCAGTTATAAACGAGCACTAGTCAAGACTCTGTAATATAGAGCGAGGAGAATATGCTCTGCAGAGAAACTAGAGGACGAATTAACGATTCTTGAAAAGACGTTGAAAAACAACGGTTATCCTCAAAGATTGATTAACAAATATGGAAGATGTGAAGGCTCAAATATCAAACAAATCACTGTTGAAAAAAGCCCTGTTTTCATTCAACTAGATTTTAAAGGTGAAAACATTGGAGCAATGATCAACAGAGGACTGAGTGCGTCACTAGCCAGAGCCTATACTGCAACTAAGTTGGTTTCCGTCCATCGAACAACATGGTCTTTGGTGCAGTCAAAAGTTGACAGATACCCTTCTCATGTTAACTCCAACTGTGTATACAAATTTACATGTATCTGCGGGAGCAGTTACATTGGGAGAATAGAAAGAAGGGCACACTTCCGATTTTATGAACATGTGCCGAAAAGCCTACGTCTCAAGGGAACAAACTCTTATAATAGCGCTATTACCAGACATCTCCTGGATACGGGTCATGAGGTGGAAATCGCGAAATCCTGTAAAATTATCAATAGACAAAGGAGCTTGATTCTCCTCAAGTTTGCGGAAGCAATCGCTGTCAAACACTTGAAGCCAGATTTATGTGTTCAGAAAGAAGCAGTATTCAGTCTTTCCCTGCCCATCCTGGTAACTGGATGTCTTTATTCTCTCTTTCACTTGATTATGTAATCTTTGGCTTTCAACCTCACATCTTTGATATAGTGTAATTTTGCTTGTCTCTTGTTTCTATGATTTGAGTTGAGCCTAATTTATTAGTCACTCAGCATCTTACGCATCTCTCGTCTTTATTACTTAACTCCTTTACCATTGTATGCATACATTTATTTTGTTTAAACTTGAACTGCCTGTGTAAAAACTACATAAGCGCAATTTTCTGAACACTGTTCAGCAATTTTGGAACCTGTCCACACTTCGAAGGATTCCGTAAGTTTCCCTTTGTGGATTACTTGCCATGCAGCATTGTCGTACAGCTGTTTGATGAGATGTATAATTCTCGGTGGCACCTGTCGATCGACGCTGTCGATAAAGTTGATATAGAGAGGTGACTGCCATTCCAAGCTTTGTTCAATGATGATCCGTAATGTGGTGATCTGATCAATACATGACTTGTTTCTCCTGAATCCAGCCTGTTCCGGTCGAAGTTTTTCATCCAGGGCATGTTTGATTCTCTCCAGGATGATGCGGCTTAGTATTTTGCTTGGGATGGACAGGAGCATAATTCCGCGCCAGTTCCTGCATTGACTTAGGTCTCCTTTCTTTGGTAGTTTGAATAAGTATCCTTTCTTCCAATCCTCGGGTACTTTGCCTTCTTTCCACACCTTCTCCAGTAGTGGCGTCATCAAGTCGGCTGTTGTCTCTGGGTCGATTTTCAATGCTTCTGCTGGGATTCCATCTGGTCCTGCTGCTTTTCCAGCTTTTAGCATCTTGATTGCCTTCAGGACTTCTGATTTCGTCGGGGGGGTTGGTGTTCACTGGTAGCTCTGTCTCGGTTGTTGGGCGCATTGTAGATGGTGGTTGATTTAGAAGTCTTTTGAAGTGTTCAGCCCAGTGTTTCCTTTGCTCCACTTCTTTGGTGAGTGACTTTCCATTGTTATCCTTCACCGGCTTAATTTGTGTCAAACTTTTGCCCGATAGGTGCCTAGTTGTTTGGTAGAGTGTTGCGAGATCTCCTTTGCCTGCAGCTTGTTCTGCTTCACTTGCCATGGTTTCATAGTACTTTCTTTTGTCTTCTCTGGCACTCTTCTTTACTCTTTTGTTCAGTGTCTTGTAGTTTGCAATGATGGTACCATATTATTCTGCACTAACTAGACATTAGTGTTGAAAATCCGAATCTTGTTCTTATTGCTGAGCACGCAGTAGAATTTCTTACCGCTTTCAGACTAATGAAAGTCTATCTTGCTTGCCTGATCCTGCCTTTGATATCGCCATGTGCGCCGTCACCTGTAGTTGAAAAGATTCTACTAAGATAAGTTAAAGAAGTAACTTTCTTCAAATTTCTCCCATCAGTGATGATTGGTGCTCGCTGTTGTTGTTGTTGTTCGGTTGGCTGGTTGGTTTGTTGGTTATCCTCATCACCTCTGTCTTCTCTGTGTTCACTTGAAGTCCTGCCTCCGCTTCTTCTCTGTGAAGCCTAGATTTCCTAGAATCTTCCTGCCGGCCCAACGTATTCCTGTCTTCTCACTCCTTGTGCACAGTCTTCCGCATAATCCAGTCCACCACACAGACACGTATCTTACGCCTGTATTCACTTCAAAAGCTTTGCTGAGTTTTCCGTTGTGAATCACTCGATATGTGCCGTTATGATGTATCTGTTGAACACGGTTTATAAAAGTTTGGGGCACTATACTCCGTAGTGTTGTGTAGCAGTTTCCAAACTAACTTCACGGCCAATACCGTTGAAGGCCTTTACAAAGTCGATGAAGAAGTTTAGATGGAGAGTTGACGACTACTGCCATTGTTAGTTCTGGTCGGGTGATATGAAAATCTTGGTTGCATCAAGATTTCCAAAAACCAAAATAGCTCTCAGGTTATTGATCAGAAATTCTGCCGGTTATTAATATATAAGTGACACAGACCACTAATCAAATTTTAATTTCGCTGCAGTCATCTTCAAAGAGATACTTCTAAGATGATGTCTATTCACAGCAGTTGAATGTCACACCGGTCACTTAGTGTAGTAGTGTGTTGAAATCTTGCCGTTTGGATTTCTTCACAGAACTAGGTTTTTGTTTTGACTTCAACC